AGGAGTCAGCGCTCTCGGAATTTTTTTCTTCGGAGCATTTTTGGCATCGGGAATCGAAGTCGAGCTCCCTGGAACATGAGGCCGCTATTCTGTTGCAAGGATTCGTCGGGAGGGGAGTTCGCCGACTCCAGCGCGGGAGAATATCCATGGAAGCAGGGGATTCTTCCCATGGGAGACGAATAATTCAAGAGCAAGTGATCCAGCTAATCTTGAGACCCTCCCCTGTAGCCCGCTTCGTGACTACTCGAATATCCGCTAGGGTCTAAGGGTAACATCGCGCTTGCGCAGTGCATTTCTGAAGGCTTATCGCACTGCAGACCGGGCCCTTCGGGCCGTCCTGTCAGTCCAAGTAAGCCGCAAGCTTCCACGCGTACGCATCAGTGCCGGCCGGCAAGATCCAGTCCTTCGAGATAACGCTCTCTTCTGAACACGTGTAGTCTAGAACTTATCATACCGCGACCGTAAACTGCGTTCCTTCCCCAATCGATGGTGTACATCCTGCCGCATAGTTTGGTCTGAATGTCGTTCCTATCCAATGCGGACCTCGAGACAGATCCTCCGTAATTTTCGCCGCTCGCAATCGGAGGACCTCCCACATGGAGCCGATGTGTCGGCGAAGCGGTATCCAGTTTCCCCACGCGGATCTCCAGATTCGGAGGAAATAGCCAGTAAAGCTTCTCGAGAGTGATTTGGAAGTTTCTGTGATTGCTCAGTCACAAGATTCTTTCCGTACCGGGCAATTTAGGCTGTGCGTTCGAAACCAGTCGCCGGCAGAGTGGCGAGGATACGGAGTAGCACGGGTGTCTAGGCTCTACTCAACCGCGTACCCTTCAAGCAGCGAATTAATCGGGCTCCCATCCCTCTGCCGGTCGAACACCGATCCAGTTGGGCTGTTAGCGCTTGTCTTCCCCTTTAATGGTATCGCGAAGAGCGAGTCAGGTCTTCTGCTCCGAGTTTATGACAGGGTTCCTCAATCGGGTCCGTTTTACACCGGGATGTACGGGAGTCTTTCTTAGGGAGGGGTGCAGATCGTCGAGAATCTTTTTGCTTGGACGACGATCTGATATTCGAACTCTGCTCCAAGACAACGGCTACCGTGAGTACACAGGATTCCTCGCGACGCAGATTCGTAGCATGGAGCGAGGATTGTGGAGAGTCATCTCGAAGGACTGTGTCCGACTTTAAGATGGCGCGTGCTCCCTAATCGGGAACGTTTTCCTGGCCCCGACGTCAGATTCCAGCTCGACTGTCTAGACGCTGGACCCCCATTTCTCTAATCCCTCCCCAGATGTTGTGTAGTTACTTAGCGAGCCAGTGAGGATCATGAACGGGGATCGTCTGGCTCTGCGGTTGCTATCTCGGATGTCGTTCTTCTAATCACGGAAGATCGGAAGAGAGAGCCCATGGGAGACGCTACGCCCCCCATGAACGCGCGTACCCTCCATGAGCGCGGCACCGTCAGGAGAGCCCGATGACTGAGTGAATCAGGTATCAAAATACCGTATCCTCTCGAATGAAGGGGAACCCCGAACTCCAACTCTGATCCACCGACAAATCTGTCTGGACTGAGCTCGAGTGAAAATCTGGTCTCGGTCATTCCAGAGCCTTGATGATGGAGGTTCGCAATGCAAGCTGAGCGGTCGCGCAACTGCTTCCGGGAAGATTCGCCGGTGCGTCCAAGCCGAAGTTTGGGGTGCCCCGGTATCAGGGAGAATACGGTAGCCCAGGACAGGAGTAATTTTTCCATGTTGAGGCTCAAGAATAAGCGGCTTGACCAGTTTCCTGTGGAGGCGGGCTATCCGGGTTCTGGAGGAGGTCAATCGCTCGAAATGGAGACTGCGAACCCGAGCTCTCTACCCCAGCATCACGACCGAGAAAAGTATGCGGTAAACCGCATTCTTAATTTCTCAGAGGCTCCTAAGGTCATCCACGATACGAGTGTTTATCCGAGGCAAGAGGACAACAGTTCAGAACGACAATCCACTCATCACGTATCAGAGCCCACGGTGACTTTCTCTGGTGAGGGGCCTAGCTCAAAGATCGTACTTCGGGTACCACCGAGAAAAACTTCAATCAATGCTCTCGGGGAGAAAGCGAGAGACATCCAGCTTCTATTTCCACAAGAGAGAAGAAATCGAAGTCGAATCAACGACGCGGACGCTCGATCGAAAACTCCCCTGGCTGGGCCACACGGCCTTCCTTCCATTTTTTCCAAGACGGATATCGTTGAGATTCTCTCCTCGCAATTTGAATGCCTCGTGGATGGAAAGGTCTCCGTTCAATCGTTAGGCCTTCTTCAGAGGGGATCTCTCTCAGAGGGGGATCCTCTTTCGACGTGGACCGCGCCTGTGCTCACTCATACCCAGAGACCGCCCTCACGGAGTTTCTCAACCACCCGAACGTGGAACTACCGCTAATTCCCAAGGAATAAAGTTCTCGAGGGATGGTCGACTGCTGTGATGACTAATAATGAATGGTGGACATCGTTGAATGAACCAGTTATTTTTCGTTTGCATCATAAAAAATCCCTGCATGTAATGTGATGGTTCATTCATTCGGTTCTCGTTTATCTTTCCCGACCTTGAGAAGTACGCATTCGGCGCGCGAATTCGAATTCTCGCGCCATCGATCGTTGATTAAAAGCTCAGCAGACGACTCTTCTCTCGATGGAGCTGAGCGGTCGAGTGAGTGGTGCGATCATCGTGGACTCGGCTGAGGTGCAGACTGCGCCGAACTACATTGACAGTCACGTAGTCTCGGAACAATTGAGCGATGAATTTTTGTTGGCAATCGTTGAGTGCGATGCCTTAGTCTCCGGTTCTTCCTCTTTGATGATCGGAATTGCTCCGTGAGTATACGACTGCTACACTTTCGGAAGCAAGTATCAAACGTGTAGCCTCTAGATTGATGACGGAGTTCGTGGGACGATCTGACGATCTTGCTGTCATTTGAAACTAGAGATGAAGTTCACATCAATATCTTCTCGCAAGAGAGACTGCACTGACATTGGCCATCGACGATACGCATCGCATGGAAAGGACTTCCGAGAGGCTTTTTCGCTTTCGCAACTTTTAGATCTCCTATCGGAGTTGCTCTCCGTCTATGCGGAAAAGAAGAGCGTACAGATGAGTTTTCGACCTGGTCGTGTGCCCGAATCATGTACTTCACCCACCGCGGATCAGTGTTGAACGTCGATTCCCGTGCGGTCTAAGCGGTCCCGAAACTGTTGGGTCGAGCCCACTGACTGTGTGAGTCAATCGATAGAAGCTATTGAGGATTTATTTTCCACTGATGGTGAAAATACCCGTAATTTTTCTGGGCTGCCGGATGAGGTTCATGATTCATCCTTCAATGGACTCGGCTGTACCGGGGATTTGCGCATTCGTCAGAAGGGGACGGCCAGGTCCTTCCCGGGGCATGAACATATATACTTTTGTATACGCGCAGAAACACCGTTTGGAGCCTGACATGCTCGAGTGAATCCTTCTCATCGGCTTATCGCCATGTTCCACCTCCGGGGATCTGAACCATGTGCGAAAATCCTGATGAGACCCGCTCTGGCATGGGTTCCATCCGGGAAAATATTCGGAGAGCGCTGTGCGGTTTCAGCTGGCGATGACTTCCGGAAAATCCTGGTGTGCATCATATCCCGGAGGTGAGAAATCGATCGGAAGCAGCCTTGATTGCAACTGCTCGCTGTCAACTCGATCCAGTCTCGTTGGCCAGAACGACGAAGGGGGCTCGCTGGCTCCGGACTCGGAGTTGGCATGTCGCATACTGCTCCAACTCTCCGAATGACGACTCTACGGTGAGCCTCGTACCACTCACCGTGAATATCCGAGGACAAGAACACTCTCGCACACATGGGCAGTCTCTGGTGGACACGCGACCAGTTCGGGCTCGAGAAATCAGACTCTCAGTCTCGATCATACGGGCATTCTCCGATAGACGGGCTCCTTCCAGGGACGGGAATCCTGGTGGCAAGTCGCGAAAGGAGAGAAGTCCTCCCCCGAAGTGTTTTTGATTGAAGATCCGCAGTAACATTCGGTACTTAAAGAAATCGCGGAGAATGTTTTTTCAAAAACCAGGAGGTCTTAACCAATCGGAGCGGAATGCGAGTGATCAGGGCTTTGTCAGTTGTACTAGCGGATGTCTCTCTCCGGGCTGATGAATCTCGTTACCGGCATAATGACTGCTCCCTATCCTCTCCATGGAGAGAATCCGCTGGATCAAGCAATAATGGCGGGGAATTGCTTGGGCATAGAGGAATTTTTTCTCAATCCCGGCGTTGGCTGACGGATCAAGGTTTTCGCCCGATTTGGAACTGAAGTTCGAGAAGTCCCCGTTGGAATGTCTTAAAACGGAGCCAGCGGACGCTGAATGTCTGTCTCTGGGCATTCGTAATTCTATATGCGACGCACAGATGCTAAACTGGCGCAGGGCCTGTCTGTCGAACGCGGATTGTTGTGAAAATACCTGCGGTTTCGATTTCTGAGTCAACAAGCCGGGATTTCAACCGACGAACATGGTCCGATATCGACACATTTGCTGGCTCTCCGTGCATCAGTCGAGTGCAGATTCCTATGTTCGTTGCCACCCAGGTCGCGAAATCGGAGAGCTTCAACGATGGGATACTGAGCTTTACTTATTCCTCGGATCCCTCCTTTATGAGTCGGTCGATGATGCGTCCCTGATCTAGCAGTAGCATGAGTGAGAGCGAAGGAAGACGCTTCCATTCGTACTGACCTGTTCGCTGAGCTGAACTTACTTTTCTTCACTATTACAGTAATCACGTCTCTCGCTCGAACGGCTTCAGCTCTGAATGGAGGGACAAAAACCGACAGGTCGTGGAAGAGGCCAAGGAGCGGGCCCCGGGACTGGCCGCGGACGAGGTCGAGGCTTGGCAGCGCAGCCCGCAGGACCTGTTCCCCAGCCCGGGGGCGTTGAGCACGGTCCTTCTGATCCCGTGGCCCCTATAGGAAGGGGTCGTGGGCTGCAGTATGCAGCGGTCCCAGGCTCGAGCGGCCAAGGACCACCCGGACGCGGCCGCGGAAGAGGTATGAGGATCGAGCCCAGCGGAACTTCCGCGCCAACTGACCCTTCTGCGGCCAAAAGTGAACCATCAGCGCAGCACGCACCCTCGGCCGTGGAAGAAAAATCGCTTCCGGGTCCGCCGACAGCCCCTACTGCCTCACCAGCCTCAGGCGCATCCACCAGCCTGAGTACAATCACAGTCCCGTGTACTTCCAATCCCGTCGCGGAGTTGAGCTTGGACGCGCTGTCGGATGTAAGTTTCTAGACTCCGAATACCTACGAACTAGAGCCTTAATTTCGAGAAGCTCCCGATAAGCCGATGGCTCGTGTTCACGCCTTGCACGACATTCCCGCGGTACATTACATGTTCATTCAAAGTTTCCCTGTCACTCGCTTCCTTATCATTTATCACGACCTGGACAACGCCAGAACCAAAGATGGATCAATATCCGCTGCCTATCCGATTGTATGAGCCCAATTTCTCTCCGTAATTGACGAGGCTTCCTCCAGGCGTTGGACGATCTTCCGCTCTGTAAGCGTCCGTTCAAAGGTACAAGGGGTAGAGAAATAAGACTGCAGTCGAACCTCTTCCAAGTCGTACTCACGGACATCGTCTGGTACATGTACGATGTCGAAATTTCAACAGCCAACGAACAGATGGTATGTTATTTCCGAATGAAACCAATACATGAGCCCGATGGCTAGGCCGGCTTGTGGAGGTGAAGTTATGATTAATCGCTGAACCGTCCCAAATAATAAGACAAAGACTATTCCCAGGTGGAGTTGTCTACCGCCGGCGCGAAATTGAAAGACAGAATCCAATCGAGGCGCCTGAATAGAGAGATCATCTGGAATCTGTTCAAGAAGCACCAGGACAAACTCGGAGATGCTTGGCCGGCTTATGACGGAAGGAAGACTTTGATTAGTACGAAGAATTTCTTTGACGAGCACATTTTCACGGTGAGTGGAGTGCTACCTGCGATCCGAGCAAAACTGTCATCAGAAATTTCCCTCTCGGCGGCGTTTCCCTGATTCTTTCGTGTCTCTCAGGTGGATATGGAGAGGAACGAACACGGCCGCAGCAGGCAATTCATTGTGAGACTCAGGCGAACGAAGCGGATTGACGTTGCATCCGTAAATACGTTCTACTCAGACCGGAGCTGCCCGTTGAGTCCCGAAGTTCTCCAGGCCGCCAACATCGTCATCGATTCAGCCCTCGGGGGCTTGTTCACGGCAGTAAACAGGTCGTACTACGCCGAGAAATCTGCGATACACCCTCTGGGCAGCGGGAAAATTTTGAGATCCGGTATCTACACGTCGCTGATCTTCGCTCAATGGAAACCCCTGCTCGTCGTGGACAAGTCGAACACTGCGTTCTATCAGGGCGGGAGCCTCGTCGATTACATCGCTGATTTCCTCGGAGATCGAAGGTTCTTGACATCTGGCTTACCGATGCACAAATTGAATCTGATATCGAAAGATCTCAGAGGTCTAATGGTGAGATTGAGTCACACGAGTAACGGGCGATGTGTGAAGATTCATAGTCTGACAGACAGAGCCGCGAATTCTATCGATTTTCAATTGTCCGACAATGAAACGACGACTGTTGCGAAATATTTCGAAGAAAGATACGGGCAGAAACTCGGGAAACTCAAGTATCCTCATTTACCCTGCGTCAAAGTTGTGAAATCGAACGGCACGAAGCAGGACTTCTATCCATTGGAAGTCTGTGAAATCAAAGAAAATCAGCCATACAGAAGAAAACTCGATTCCAATCAAACGAGGGAGATGATCAAGAAATGCCAGGAGAGACCTGATGAACGGATAAAGCAAGCTGTGGATAACGTACGAACCGTCCAGCAAGCATCAATGCAGACTTTGAAGCAACACGGCATCAGTATTGACAACAAGCCGATCGAGACCAGCGGTCGCATCATCGACAGTCCCGTCATACTGGTGAAGGACAAGAAGATCAGAGTTTCGGAGGGAAGCTGGAGACAGGATGCCTTCCACGTGGGAGCTCATTTGGACCAGTGGTGCGTTGTGGATGCCTCTTCGGTCGGTCACCTATCGAGGAAGCTAGCCGATATGATGTATTCGGAAGCCCGGAAAATGGGGGTCCAAAGTGTCAAGGAAGCCCTCGCAATTATGCAGTGCCCCACAGATAGTGCGGAGATGATCCTCAGCAAAGTCAAATCAGCCATCTTGAATAGAGGAAGACCAATGATGGCGATTATAATCCTCCCCGAGGGAGCTCTGGACCGCCAATTGTACTCTCAGCTCAAGCGACTGTCTGAAACTACGGAAAAATGCCGAGGAATCATCACGCAGTGCGTTCTAGACTCGAACGTTAGGAATCCGAAAAAACTCACTCCGATGCTGATCAACAACCTCCTGAAGAAAATGAATGCCAAGCTCGGAGGTATAAACAACGCGATCGCCACGGTCCCCGGACGTTTCTCCAAGAGCGACTTCATGATTCTCGGGGCCGACGTGAGTCATCCGGGTGTCGGCGATATCATGAGTCCTTCCATCGCCGCAGTCGTCGGTAGTCTTGATGCAATTCCGTCGAAATACGCTACTGAAATACGAGTGCAGAAAAGCGAAACCAATAACAGGATAGAGTACATAATGGACTTGGAGGAGATGGCCAGAATACTCTTGGAGCATTATATGAAGGCGAACCAGAATAAGTTTCCAAAACACATCTATTATCTGAGAGACGGTGTCTCATCTGGACAGTTCGACGAGGTACGCAGAAGAGAGATTACAGCTCTCCGGAACGCTTGCAAGAATCTTCATCCCGAATATCAGCCGAAGATAACAGTGATCATAGCTCAAAAACGGCACCATGTGCGTTTCAATCTGATTGGAAGTGATAAGAGGCTCGGGGGAAGGAGTGGTAACGTCCCACCCGGAACATACATCGACAGGGATGTAGTTCATCCGGAGAACTTCGATCTCTACATGTACTCCCATCAGGGGATTCTGGGCACTTCTCGTCCCACGCACTATCATCTGATTCATAGTGATGAAGAGGAACCGATCTCCACCGATGAACTTACAGAACTCATCTATCACCTGTGTCACTGCTATGCGAGGACAACGAAATCGGTGTCCATCCCTGCCCCGGTGTATTATGCGCATCTCGCTGCGTTCAGAGCGAAGGAACATGTCAAAGGCGAGCTCCAGTTCACCAGCTTCGAGCGTCAATCTGTCTCATCGGGCGATAGCGAAATGTGCTTCGATTTAGCGATGTACCAAGAAATGTGCAAAGTCGATGAACGCTTCCGTAAGTGGCTCTATTTCGTCTGATATTATCGAGTCTGAATCGAGAACATTCAAAGGCTGAATGTCCATCCTGGTCATTTTAACCGATTGTTGCATAAAAATCTTTACCAAAGTCAAAAAATGTTTCCTGTCTACCATGGGCGTCCCGGATAGGGAGCCCTGGAATATTCCCAAGCGCTCGTCGAATGGGGCTATTCTAGCGATTTTAGGTAGACGACTCGGCATCCAAAGCCTGTCCGATCCCCTGAATTCGTCTCGAACAATCATTAACGATGGAGAGAATCGACCCCGAAATTGAATTCTCGGAAATGTGCCGGAAAGTCGGAGTGAAAAAGCTCGTGGATTGACTGCCTTTCGGCTTTTCCTCCAAAGTATCGCGATCCGAGGGAGCCCCGCGTAGTTCGACCGTGTACGAGTTGATTGATCTGAATGGCAGGTCGTCTCGAGTAACTAATTCATGAAATAGTTGTTATATGTCCCTGCCATCTGGACCTACGGCTCGGTATTCCCTTAACTAATTCCAATAGGTCCTTTCCCGGTTGAGGCCAAGCAGCGACTACCCGGCCGTATCGGCTCCGTTTTGTCGCAGATGTCAGATCTCGTCAAGGTGCCCCACCGTATAAATTATGTTGTCAGGCTCTGCACAGCCGCTGCGCCTGCCACCGTCGCCGCTGATATGCTCCTGATACCACCGCCCTTGCTGCTGCCGCTGCAAAAGTGCGACTTGCCTCGATCGAAACGGGTTTCTCGAGTCAAGCAAACATCTGGCAATACACCGACCATTTAGATGAGCTGGTGGAGCTGCGATCGGTACGCTCGAGGAAAACACATAAGAGACAGTCTCTTGCACCCTGGCTTCTCAGGTTCATTTAACCCCGTTCTTCATGGGGCTTGTGTGCTCCCGAGCGAAGTGCTCTCGGGAAGACAACTCTCAAAGCAAATTCATCCATCTGGTGTCCGTTCCCGCGATGTCCTTACCTTAGATCGCATCTTTCAGGATCACGATCTCTGTAGAGCGTAACCGAGACCGAGACCATGTTCCAACAATCGGTTGGCGAGTATGCATCTCATATGTGAGAAGCCCAATGAGTTCCCCGATTTGGCGGTAATTTTCATGGCCCGGATCGGGACCCTACGTCCAGCTACTCATTGCGGAGAGCTTCGTTGAAACTGCTTGAGTTTTCCCTACCAGCCATTATGCGTAAAATCTTTTCAGCTGGGATTTTCCTCTTCCTGATATGCCAATGGCGATTATCGCAGATGAGTTGGAAGACACGGTACAACCCGATTCCATTGTTCATACGATGTCCCTAAGCTCTCTGTGTACCGTCTGGAACTCGGGTTCGAGGGCTTGGTTCACCGTCCTAGCTGCATTATTTCAGTAATTCGAAACGATTACGAATTTTCGTTGGGCTCCTCGGGTCGGAACAGTGTACCGTGTTACGAGGAAAAGCATTGGGAAGGTCCCGTCGGGGGAAACATCGGATCATGTGGTCAGGAGTCAGGATGATGGGGCCGCTCCTCGAAACCATTGAATAGTCAGCTCCTAGGGGCGGAAATCGAGACGCCGCACAGTTGGGCCAAATCGGATTCTAGGTGGACATAAAAGTTCCATGTACCTTTTGAGCTTTCTGAGGTTTTGAGAGTCTGAAATAGCGAAGGAAGACTGCAGAAAGCATGTCAAACACTACAGGGAGTGGGATGAGCTCACAATGTGAGGAAAAAACATGATATGAATAATCGGGGACGAAGTTCACTTCTCATTCTACTCGGATTCCTCCAACTCCGTAGAACTCATTCATCGACAGCAGAATAATCGCTCGAGCCAGCGGAAGCTGCCTCAGAGCCCTCTGATTCCTCTTCTGTGGGTCTAGCATCGTCGTCTCCTATCGATTCAACATCTTCCATTAATGAGTTATAGTCGAGGGAGCATCGCACCTCTGGATCCGGAGTTTTCTCTTTATTCCGTGGAAATGGCCGCATAGAGGCTACAAGAGGATCTGAAAATCTTGGTGGATATGAGTTGGAGAACATTCTCGCCCTCTGTTCGCTCTCCAGTTACCTCTGGGAACGAGTGAACGCTGCGCCAAGACGCGACGCTTATGTCTCCGAGCGGAAAAAAAGCGTCAATCGTCTCCGACGCTGATTCGGATTCGAAAAGCTACATGAGAATGGTCCCGATCTACGAGATCAGATCCCAACTTTGGACAGACAGTATTCGAGAACCGTTGGGTTTCCGGGCTCAATTTTTTCTTGTGGCGAGGAGAGGTCCGATACTTCTCAAAAAGAAATAAATCAGAGGGGGACACGTGGGGACACAGCATTTCTGACATCGTGAACTTTTTCGTCTCGGCGATAAAGTCTTCCCGGCAAATCCAGAGTCGGCTGACTCGACCGGAATCATGTGGGATTGCGAGATCAGGACGGGAACTGAGCGCAGAAAATAATTTTCCCCCAATTCGAGTGCACAGAGTATCTTCATTTCCGAGCATCACCGATTGGGGGGGAAATTCATAAACATGGTCGTCAAAAATTTCCATTCTCGCAGGTGCCAGGGTGCTGGGGGATGCGGCAGATGCGGTAATCATGCTTCCCTCGCGACTTTCAGAGTCTTTCGAACATTTTGAACGCATCACCGATCGAAATTCCGGGTTGTATTTCCATGGACTTCTGTCCACCTGAAATTCAATTTGGCCCCACTGTGCGCCGGCCGTAGCCCCAGCACTCGATGTTGATCGTTCCCCGAGCGGAGGGTGATCATACGCTGCAAACCTCGGGCGGCGAATTGAGGGGGTCAGATGGAGGGGTTCGCAGTCCATCCGGGGGGCCTCCATGGGATGCGAGGTCTTCCCTCGCAGGCGGTCCCGACGCGGTTCCTCGTCGAGAGAAAAAGTCCGAACGGATTAACCGAAACCAAAGACTTCTGGAGTTTTCGAGGATTAACCATGCGCGATTGAATCTGGATATACCAAGAAGGCTACGGGATGAGTTGGCTCCGGGAGATTTCCCTGCTGATCATGACAGTCTAAAGTCTTCACTCTCTCGGCGAAATGGGACTGCTTCCCCCAGGGGGGCTGTTCGCTTACATTCGGTTCCGTATCTGGGGCCTATCCTCTTCTCATTTGCTTTATGATACTCATGAATCGTCGCCGAACCCTAAGGTTGCACGTCAGCACTGGCGTAGAGGGCAGGAGTCCGCATCGGCTCTGGTGATGTTAAGAGTGTGATTCCTGATCCTTGTAGTATTATCCTCTTTAGTCGAAGCACCTAGTCATGTGAGGTGGCTTCATCCGACTGAAACTGCCCGAACTAACAATGATACCGAAGACAGCCTTAGCGAAGTCGGGCGCCACATCGATATGTGTGGCGTAACAGCTCGCCTCAGAAATTCCTCTCGCTGCTCCAACGACGATGAAAACCACTAAGTTCATCATTCCGTCACACCCAGAGATCGGAACAAGCAAGCAGATGATCACAGGTGGAACGAAGAGACATGTATCATAGGAAAGATTCCGGACTCCTGTCACCGAAATCCATTCCTTGCGTCTGAGGGTGACCGCCAGGGAAGCCGCAGCTGAACCTTCCAAAATGACTCCGACGTAAGGTAAAGAGGGGTAGAAAATTCCGCGTCTCATCTCGGGAGCTAGGAAGGCCCGGGGGTTACTTCCGTTCAACGTAGTGGGCTCATCAGAATTCTAGTGCTTCATTATGAAGTCGCCCGTTTCCGTTCCCTCATGGACAGCGGAATGATTCACTATCGACACAATAGCATCCAATACACACTCATGAGACCCAAGAATCCGGGGACGATCGAAACGTATCGATATTGAACAAAGCTTTTTCGGCTCCCTCGCATCAGACGCAATCGACTGGAGACTAACGGAGATCGCTTGAGCTTCGAAGACGTTGGCATCGCGCGGCGACGAGTGAATCTCATGACCAAAGATACTCCTGCCGAGACTCACTCCGATCTGTGAGGCGATCCCGGGCAGGAGTGAGAAGCCCGAATTCATAGTTGTCGAACACACGAGATTTGGGCTAGTTGCAACTGAAATCCTCTCCGCGAGAATTCATCTTTTCGTGTAATGCAGACGACGACCTTGGAATATGAGCGGTAAGAGACGATATCGAGTCCCGCAAGGGAATATGGAAGCCAAATGCTCGGATTTCTGCAATCAACGTGATCGACTGGATAAGAGGTCCATCTCAGCAATTATACAGACGAAACTAATTAGATATCACCATCTCGACGATTGATTGGTCAATTTTCAGCTACACGAGACCGCGATTCTTTATGTAGACTTCAGTTCCATCGAATTGCGGTTTCCCGTGGGAGCGGATGGAAGGAACCGAGCTGGTGTGGGAGTGGAGGCATCTTGTTTACGGTGATGACAAGAGGAAATCAGGCTCGATTATCCAGATGCACACATTGTCAAACTCATCTGTTCCACAGGTGCCCTGGTGATCACTATTTACCGGAGATTCATTATCCACGATCCTTCCGTGTATATCAAACTGTATAACTCTCCGTATGGTGTCCGCACTTGAAGGAGCCTTAGGATGTGCTCGAAGCCGTTCGGCGGAGATTTTTCAAGCGGATGCGATGGCGTTGCGGCGTATCTTCTCGAGATGTAGAGCTCATTACTGATCGCTTGGACGCACGGCAAATGAATACGTGTATTTTCCTCAGACATGCAAATCTATTGGAAGACTTTTTGACCGAATCTGTAAACAAAGTTCGAAGTGAAATCACCATTTCTGCCGAAGCCCTTTCCCGAACCGAATTCATCACTAATCAATTTTCGCGGCGTATAGCAAAGAGACTTAAACATTTACTGACTGAGATACTCACGCTTACGCTTCGACCAAGCACTTTTGATGATTACTCATTATCACCCCTTCCCCCCTGATGGCCTTCCCTCATATACGCCGCAGAGTCGGGTCCGGAAGCGGTGGGTCATGCGCTCAGGCGTCATCCATGGAGATTCCTTGATATCCTGTTGTTATCTGAGGCATCTCCCCGTAATTGCGAAATCTCCGCTTCCGAGGGAATTCTCGGAGTCGCCCAACACCAAGCTGTCTGGCACGCGGATACAATTTGAGAAATCCGCTTCGGACCTTCAGAGTGCTCTCTTTCATTGAAGCGGCTTACCAAGACATAAGTAGATTGAGAACCTTGGGACAACTTTCCGCGACCGAAGTGTGACCCGCCAACCTCCGGGTCTACCGAGACTTCATCCATCGGTCCATCGGCCATAGAGGAGACTTCGTTGTACTTGGAGCGCTACCCCAGAAATACCCTAGGTTGAGCAGAGAGCTTGCCTCTGAAACCTACTCCGAATATTGATAGGCAAGCTATAGATATCCAAGTCGGTGCAAGTTTTGCTCTCGTTCGAGCCGTCGGGGCCGAGATCAAGTTCGACCGATCTTTATTCGTCACAACTGAGATCGCATCGGGAGAATCCGATGCCTACTTTCAAAGGGACCAAACAACTACAGAGAATTCGCTGGATGCACAAACTGACATTGAACAACAGCACAATCTAGTCAATCGTTTTCGTCGGGACAGCCGGCAGCTGAATTGATGTATGGGAAAGTAATATACCCAGGGTGCGTGACGCCAAATCTCCGCTCGTCGCTGAGATACCCGTACCTTCAAACACGTCAGCCCTCAAATACGCTCGGCCTGCTGCAGGCTCGACGGATGCACTTCGGAATAATCATCCAGATAAAAATGGTACGCTGAACACGTTCATATAGCGACTCACTGCTCGAATTGACCCACATTGCCGAATTCATAACATACATACATACTAAATAGAATGGGGAACTATGCGATCGCAGCCGCCCACGGCTCAATCCCTCGCTATCGAGAAATCATCATGCAAGTTTCGAGGATACCGCGAACTCTTGTCGAATGCCCCGAATCACCGGAGTGCTCACTTGTCAGATCTAGACTTCGGACTACATCCCATTGGCGTCCCGTTTCATCAGTTTCGCCGTAGCCCTCTGAGAAAAGCTGAAAGCCGGAGGGATAATTTGAATCACCCTGAGGAGTCCCGAATAGGTATGCCTCGAACTAGAGATTATCGCGCAATACGGCGTATCTCGACTCGCTTACCTTCAACGTGCTCAATCTGAAACGCGTTATCGAAATAGAATGCAGTTTCTCTTTCTCAAAGCGGTGTTTGTTGACAAGAAAAGCCTCCGGTTTCGGGCAGATACCTCCTCAGTTTGCTGATCGTTGTGACTCTGGGAAAATCTCCTTGTTCGAAGTTGTTACCTCCTTCTCAGTGACACTCCTTCCGTGAGTAGGAAACCTCCAAACGTCAGAGTTCTTCGAGAAAGCGTCCATTGGAGGGATCCCCCTTGAAAATGTTGCGGAGAGGATCATAACACTGAGTCCCACCAGGGCGCGCGATAGCCAACAGAAACTTCAACTTCGGTCTTTCTCTCAATCCTTTCCTTTTTAAGGAATCGGAAAACGAGTCTGACTCGGCTAAACGACTGTTGAGGCTACGCTAGGCACCCGGATGTGCGGGAGGACATTTTCTCTATGCTTTCTGAGGGAGAGGACAGAAAGGAAGACACTCAGCTTGATTTCAACATTCTGATTTCCGAACCTTCAGAGTCCATCATGGTGCTTGAGTCATGGAGACGGCCCTCGGGTGGGAACATGCATTGGTTCAACATGAAGCACACCCTGTTGCTTTCATTCGTGACATTCAAAATGCTCGAATGGACGAGCGTCATGCTGCCCCTTTGGTCCCTGATGGCGTACGCTCTGATTCTCGCTTCGTGTTATTGGTTCGGCTTTGTGGCCTGCCGCTGGGTGAAGAGATACAAGCTAGCAACCACGATCGCAAGCTACAAGAAAGCGGTCGTCATCACAGGTGAACACTTGCCTCCTTCCCGTGAAGCTCCTTATCCCGATTCGGCGCGCCAAATAGAGTGGCAGATTCCCCCTGTCCTTGTATCCAGTCAGCGGGGACGCTGTTCATAACAGCGACCTCTAGCCTCCGTAATCGCAGTCTGATCTCAGATAAGATATTCAATCCAGGGTGCGACAGCAGCGGCAGCAACATGCTCGCTCGAAAGTTGGCTACGGAGCGTGGCTTCCAGGTACGCCCCTACGAGAGATGGGTCCGTCATGTCAATACTGCGTTTCTCTCACACGATCTCCCAACTTTCCGTAGGTTCTAGCGACATTCACCAACCCAGGAAGCTCCGAAGCTCAAAGGCTATCCAAGATTCCGAATATTGATGTCATCGAGATGGATTCCACTAATGAAGAATCCTGCTCGAGAGCTCGCGAACTCATCGAACGAAAAGTGGAAGCATCAGGCAATTGTGAGGAATTCATTTCGTCTCGTCTCCCGCTCATTCACATCGCGACCACAGATCTGTTGCTCGGAGTCGGAGTCAGAAATTGAGGCTATTGGGTTGCTTCCCCGGTGCATTGCGAGGGATCTAGCTAAACGCATGCATCCTCCCCCGCGTCCCCATCATCACTCAATAATGGCTTTCACTTCCATCCCATGCAGACCTGTGGGCGATTGTGTGCTGCGAAAATTCCTGTGGAACCGCTGAGATCGAATGGCAGGACATGTCCTCGATACAGCGAATTGTTGATGTCAATATTGTGGGCACCATAAGAACCGTGAAAACCTTCATTCCTAATTTGCGGAAGACTAAAGGTCGCATCGTGATAGCAACCAGCGTATTGGGTATGTAGCAGCAAAACTATCCTCATCATAGGACGTAATCTCGCGGAAGTGATGGCGGAAACGGAACGAAAACGTGGCTGGAAACCGACTCGACCCATCGATTCCTCTTGTTTACCAGGTCAGTTAAGCGTGCAAGGTCTTGTCGTTTACTCGATGACCAAAGCTGCTTTGACGTCATTCGCGGAAGGCTTGAGACGAGAAATGCAAGTGTGGGATGTCGATGTCTGCACTGTCCAACTCAGCGATCCCGAGTGAGTCCGGATCTCCTAGTCGTTTCATATTTCATCGGGTACAATCCCCACGACACAATCGGTACTTCCGACCGCTTATCGCAGTGAGTCGACGCGCCGCGCGGTGGATTGATGGCTCGATTGGAGCCTCGGTGCTTGAATTCTGAGTCGACCCTCGGGTAGGTATTCTCATTCATCCATCAGCAGCTTTGGAAAACCAGAATGTTGCGGGAATCCCACTCCGAGCTGAATTGGAAGCGGAAAATTATGTAAGTCTTCTGGGTCAAGGTCAAGCTTAATCTCGGGAACCTTGATGGCGAGTCTGCCGATTGGGTAAAATCACGAAAATCATCATCGGTGAGACCTGAAAAAAATGTGGCTGTCCTGCGTTCACCAATCTTGGGTTGCCCAATTCGGAATTGATCGGAGCGATTCGATCAAGTTCCGCCCAGCGACGACGACATCCGTCTCCTCGCTTAAGCCGAGACGAGAGGGCGAAACGCTGTGTAAACCCTTGAACCGCAATAATTTGCACTCCGAGCTTGTGCGTCGAGAAACCGTGCAGAATGCATGGGAAGGAGAGTCGAAAATCGCGCTCATCCGGCTGCGTTTATCCACTAAACCTGGGGCGCACGCCAGTCATGTAATGGTCTCGAAACTACTCCACTCACGGGACCCTCCGACAGTACTGCACACTTGGCTGCGGACAACAAAACTATTCGGTTTTCGTCACACTAACGATCGGTAACGATCGGTAACTGGATCTCTGAGGTGGAATATCCCCGGAACTGTCACCAGTCGGTCATCAAAGCGAACAATCGAATTGTGCCCGGGGATCTATTTTTCTCTCATACCCCTGGTACCTGGCGGAGAGCCTGAGGTTCCGCGGAACGAAGCTGCGCTGAAGAGTTCACTGAGAACCCTGAGTGTTCGACCGGAGGGCGGCTTTCGCGATTAGTACAGCCTGGCGGGAGACGAAGGTTGGGAATGCTCTTGCTGGGAAAGAGAGTTCATGGGTCATAAATCATGAATAATAGGTCACAACCTATGATGTGAGCGAGTTTTCGCTCCGCGACGCTCTCCGAGTGATCTCGGAAAATAGAAATCGACGGAATCTACTTCTTCTGTCATGAATTCGATGAGTGACAAATATTAGAAAAGTTTGCTTCCATAGATCTCGTGTAAACAACTCAGCTAGCAATACGTGTGAGCGGGGGCTGGGCTTTTCCACGCGGGTTGCAAAAATCTACGCCTCCTCTTTGCATTGGATGATCGTCGGTTTGACTGCGAAGAGTTCCCCTTTCTCAGTTGTGATTCCAAAATGATCCGTCGGAGCGAAGAGGAATTCTCACAACGGGTCGCAATCGCCGACGATGTACGGGAGGACTATGGCCGTGAATACTTCGGGGAGTTCTTCAGGTCAATGTCACGCTTTTCCGAAAGATTCCTCGACGCCCAGCCTAACGCGGTGAGTCAGCTCTGCGAGTACTCCTTTCGAACTTTCATACGAGTATTGTGGACGGTTCGAGGTCGCTACGAATCTTTCTTGCATTCTCTAGGCCATCGATGTGTTGACGCATGCCGTCACAACAGTGTGGCCGGAGGTTCATTATCGATCAAGTGACTGGACGAGACACTTGATAAATACAGCTCTCGATTACGCGCCAACTGAAGTTATCGATCTATACCTCGAGAAACTTCTAGAGAAAAACTTCGTTCCGAACGCTATCAGTAAAGCGTGATTCGGGACGAAATTCTATGTACAAGGCTCTGTAGCATAATGCATAGGGCGTATACTGAATCTCATGATGGTACCGGGTTGTGAGATTCCGGTCGGAGGATCATGCAATAAATCGCTCGGAGATTTCCTGGAATGCTTGTCTCATCGGGTTAACTTTTCAGATGTTCCAGCTATACACAGTGTCTCGCCTCGTCAAGCTCCTCTGTATATCAGTGAAGATTTGTTTGAGATCTCAGAATATGTTAGACCTCGATCTGCTCGAGGATCCGATGAGTATCGCTACTCTCAGTATTGATCATTCAATACTGTCGAACAAAAGACCTGAAAGGAAAGCTTCTGGCCTTTGGCCTGATAGTAATCAGCTTACACTCCCCCCTTCTCTTATCTTCGCATTAAGTCTCTCGAGCATTCTATTGTAGCTCAAGAGCGTGCTTTGAAGAGTGAATGCTGGACATCTACTATAGCTGCGTGATTTCGATAGAAAGCCCCTGCAAATCATTCGGTGTGAAGCTTTGAATCGTCGGAATAGCTCGGAAAAAGTCAAGAAATGGTGCTGGAATCGTGGCGAAGACCCTCGGGAAACAACATGGGCTGGTTCAATTTGAAGTCGATGCTGCTGCTGTCGTTTTTGACGTTCAAGTTGATCGAGTGGTCTAGCTACTGGCTCCCTATATGGGACATGCTTTCTTACGTCATGATACTTGGTGCTTCGTATTGGTTCGGATTCGTGGCGTATAGATGGCTCAAGAGAGACTATCTCGCTCTGAAGATCGCAAGCTATCGTAAAGCTGTCCTGATAACAGGTGAGGCTGTACTTCGCTAGGAGAGCAGCTGATTGAGCGGGACGACAATCATTTTGATACTTGCTCTTGCGCCTCAGGATGCGACACAGGATTCGGAAACATGCTCGCCCGGAACCTCGCTCCTCGAGGTTTTCAGGTTGGTTCTTGGGGTACTGTTCTCTCAACCGCGATCTCTCCCGCCCCCACGTTTCATTGCAATCTTCGATCCCCGAGACAAGTGTTACCCACTGAAGACGCCGAAGCTGACGGCCCCGACTTTTTCGTTTCCCGAATCTGCTCTATCTGCTTCCCGATGAGGATTCATTGAACCCTAGTATATGCGAGGCACGGAAAAATCGAGCATAACAGATCCTTGGCTAAGATGATGCAGGTGCCGCTTCAACGCTCTTCGGCGCAACGGCGCCTCTCTTTTTGGCGGCACCTCTCCCTTCAGCGTCTTCTTCTCGACCCCCTCCGCCCTCGCGGGGATGATGATTATATGGGTCATTCTTACAGGTCTTGGCCGGCTGTCTCGATCCGCAATCATCTGAATCTCTCAAACTGCAAGCCATCCCGAATATTGACGTGATAGGACTCGACGTGACGGAACAATATAGTTGCGAGGAGGCTTTCAGAGAAGCGGCGTTGAAACTCGAAAAATCCCAGAATGGTTCGTTCCCCAAAAGCAAGCATCGCAACAATCGCGGAACTTCCGCTTCAACGAGAAGAGCGCTCTACTTGCAGATCTTTGGGCAGTCATTTGCAACGCCGGCGTGTGCGAAATCGGCGAACTCGAGTGGCAGAGCTTTGAAGCCATTCAACGAGTTCTGGATGTGAACGTCATGGGGACCATTCGCACAGTGAGGACTTTCCTCCCGATGCTCCGGAAGACGAAAGGGAGAATCGTGCTCAATGCGAGCATATTGTGTAAGGGGATCGATTTTGGTATAGTACCCGAACCTTGCTCACGGTTCACCCGAACATTGCTTGATTTTGAGCCCCTCCACGCAGGCAATTTTTCTAGTCCCGGCTTCGTCGCCTACTCGATGAGTAAGGCAGCCGTAGCCTCTCTTGGCGAGGGTTTGAAGAGGGAACTCCAGGTCTGGGATATTGATGTCTGCACTGTGCAACCGGTCTTATACAAGTACGTCTCGACGAGTATGATTCTCTGCGGCCCTATCACCTACCCGTACTCCATTCTGGGGAGTTTTCGGCTCTCTCCCTCCGGGGGACAATTTTTAATCATCTTCTTGCTCGTCAGCACTGGACTGCTCCGCTTGGACGAGGTCAAATCAGAATTCCTGAATGAAGCTATCAATAAGCTGCCCGAGAACTTGCGACAGGACTACGGGCCCGAGTATTTCATCGGTTTCTGGAACAAAATGAGCAAATTCGTCCGCGAAAACGCTAATTCACAGCCGGATCAGGTAAATCTCGAGTCTTGCGAATAATTGTGTTCAATGTTTGGAAAGAGGACGGTACTATAGAGTTCATCTATGCTTGCTTCAGGCCGTCAAAATGCTCTGCCATGCCATCACCACCGTATGGCCGGAAACGCATTACCGCGTCGGAAGCTGGAAACAGAGAATTTTCTACAATATTTTGGATTTCATGCCGATCGAAGTTGTAGATTTATGTTTCGAGAAGCTGATGAGGAACCCAGTGGAGCCGAATGCTTTACTCAAGAGTTGAACGACATTTTGCTTGCGTAAAGAATGAAATGATGGGGGAATGAAGTAAGAATAAACATGTGTTCCCCCCCCCCCCCGACGTTGACTCCCCGGACTTCCTCAGCGGCGTCCGGAAAGGCTGGGATTCGGGAAAAGGGAAGCATACGCAATTATCTGTAATCTACCGCCATCGAGATTTATTTCCAGGATGGCTTGTTGGGGAAAAAGCGATATTTTTGTGAGAAGGCTATGCATTCTTCCAAGCGCGATACAAGAAAGTATTCACCGGGGGTCGGAAATTTCGCTCACATGGAGAGAAAGGTCCGACTCCCGATAACCCAGACGGCCTTGAATCGAGAGTTTCTTGGCAATCCCTTGGAACTCCCGGTTTTCCTAACAATAAAATAGATATTGAGTATTGTCGAGCTGCGACTCATGGAAGTCTGACCCAGGCGAGCCGAACAGCGACCTCGTTCCGAGCATGAATAGCACATAGATGGATCACAGAAACGCTGCGCTGATACTCGGAGAACAGTCATATATCCACGGAGAGACCTGACTGATTAATATACCGCCATATGAAGCCATGCATGATACATTCTCCCGTCGTGGTTTTGGGCTAAAGCGATTTTGCAGTCTGTCAGCCTGCGATTCGATCCTAGTTGCCTATTTGCAAGTCTTATTCTGGAGAGTCAACACTGCTCCTTGTTCGGCGTCGTCGACGTCGTCCTAACAAGATCTGTCGAGAGCACCCATCCTACCTTGCTTGATTGTGATGCTGATTTTCCTCGTTTAAACAGCCCGGAGGCCCCATCAGAACACATTAGATCCCCCCTGGATCCTTCAGCTTCCCACTACTTGAACCCGGAAGTTTACGTTGACGCTCCCCTGATCTGCGAAGCCCGAAGCGCAGATAGCGACCGGCGACCGGGACAGCTCGGAGGTATTTCTGAAAACATCTATGGCCGAATCGGGCTAGAGTTTTGTTTCGCGACCACCTGAGATCAAGTCTAATCGGTGGAGTCCATTTCCGGTTGACGACGTCTTAGTCGATTCTTCGTCTCAGCTCTGATCTTGTTTGTCTATGGAAATGCGTAGCGGCGCGATTCGCGCCGTTGAGTGCCGGACCGTGTTCACGCAGGTATAGGGAGCTGTGTCAACACGGCAAGCTTCCGACGACCCGCATATGAGTGAAGAGGCTTTTGATATGGTGATCGCTTATCATCCTCTGGCGCTATGCAGTTCCATGTTTATCAGGTCGGACAATAGGTCGATAACAAAGGCTCTCGTCGGCTCGAAAACAGGCTCTGTCGCTTGTTTGACGTTCGGTCGCGTTGCTGTCTGACAAGAAAAGCGAGTTTCATTGATATCAATGGAGTTCACGTCTCCATCGACATCTTCATTAGCGGGAACTCAGTACGCAGTCTCGGCTCTCGATGCCTTGGACAGCGGGGCATACAGGATATCCCCTGGGGGAGATCCGTATCTCGGGGGACATGGACTGACAGGGATGAAAATGATGACGCGCCATCGCAAGACCTACAAATGTCATGCTTGAGCGTTGATATCTAAGAGGTCGCTCCGCCCTACAACCCCTTCTCGATGAGTGGCTCGAGGCGGACTTCGTAGATTTCGTCTAGGCCCGAGCCGGCCAGTGTCCGAGATTCCAATTTTCATCGAGACGGACTACGCCGACGGGAAGGCTCCTCCTCCTTTCGATATGCATGTGTGGATTGGAGATACTTAGAGAGGGGTTCGTGACACACCAGGCCGCCAACTGCGTGGGTGTTTTGAGTGACTTTCGGCATCGTATCAGCTCCACGTTAATCGGGCTCGTTCCTTCAGCTGATACTTCCCGTCGACTACATTTAGGCCGACGACTGGACCGAGACATGCGGGAGGGCGGCCCCGATTTAATTTTGGGCAGGAATGTGATGGTCAGTTATCAGCTATCAGCATATGCGATGGCAAGCTCGTCAATCACCTTCATACTGCTCTCCGTACCGGATCCACCGGCGGGCTGGAAAATGGGAAGGAACAATTATTCAGCTTGCCCGAGGTGCATTTTTGCCGCGGAAAACCTTCTGTTAGCCATGTCTCTGATGTGCCGCCTGCGTCCGATTGCGATACGATTACTAAATCGACGGACTTTAATTCAATCTCATGGAGGCAGTGGCGTGCCCAGGGAGGGGTGGTTGGCAAGGGGCCGAGATATCTCTCAGGCCCTTAAGGCTCCATGTTGGGGCTCATCATCTTCGGTGGTTGGTCTTCTCCTAGGCAATAATCTCCTCCCCCCCCCTCCTACCCCCACAAATCCTTGGCATGAAGGCCTCCATGCCAGTATATATCCATGCCAGTACTCCATGTAGTACTCTCAGAGGCAGCGGGCGACTCAATATCAGTTCGGGTTTCGCGTGTAGATCGCAGGAAAGCTGGTCCCGTTCACGGGCAGCTCTGAAGGAGACCGCGAGCGAAGACGATCAGAGAAAGTATCATTCCTCACAGCGGAGCCGGATGGAGACTGTTGGGGAGCGGAGCTGCAGAACAAATTTCTATCCGCCAGTTATGCCGGAGAATTTGGATGACAATAATAGAGAATGACCCTCGTAGAACTCACACGACTTTCTCTGGAACAACAGCTCGCAGAGGCAAACCCTCACAGGAACCCCCCGGTGTACATATGCGATTAGATTCCATCACCTGATCAGGGGACTCGGCGGTGGAGGACAGAGGCCTCAAATAGTTCCTAAGGGTCACAAGCCAACTAGGAATACCCCTCCGCCTCTCGGAGGAAACAAACTACCGAGCGGTTCCGTGAATTCTAGGTAGATGCCCGCCGAGCTCCGAGGGAGGTTGCGGGGCGCTTGGACATGCTCGCGGAAGCCTCCACACCCGGGCATAAGATCCATGATCGACAAGTCATGATTGACTCAGGTTTTCGGTGACTTCGTCACCTCTCGGGGCCATTCGCGTCTGGCATTCCAATGTGAGTAGGGAAATTGCCGCTCGAAACGCCCAGTCCCAGTGGACCTCCGGCCTGCGAATCCTCGGATGACTCGTGTATCGAAAAGGCTGTAGCCCGCACCCCTTCCATCTAATGGGGGCGGAGGCCAGTAATGTTTTGTACTTTGTTTGCGTACAACACATCAGGGATCGAGTCCCGGGACGATCGCATCCATCGAACCCGAGATGAGCTCACTAAAGTGAACCGGAAGATAGCGTTCGATCCCTCTCCCAGGAACAGGCGGTCCGTGAGATGGATTACAACTTCTTGCTCGGGACAAGTTCACCGACAAATCAAGGTCTCGCTTGGAAATATGCTAGCATCAGGCGCTAAGAGCTGTAATCAGATTCCTCCTCAAGGGCTCAACAAACAATAATTTGACAGAGCAGTGCGAGCAACGCGCTTCAACATACATACATAGATTAGCAGACAGTAGCGGGTGGACTATCATGAAACTGGATCTAGCTTTCCTCTGTGATCTTATCGGAACCCCTTCTACGATCAGTCGCTACAGATGAAGACCATAAGGCGCTCCGGGTTCCAGCGAGCTGCTCCGTTCCAGATCGACCGAGTATCATCGTCGTCCAATCATCCACCACGGAAACGGAAACCTCACATTGCCCGATGAGACGAATATTGAGAATGAGCACGCCAGACAAGCCTTAAAAATCGCTGTATTTGTACAGACTCCTCTACAACGACTCAAAAGTACTCAAAGAGTTTCCAGCCTCGATCGAATGAATCCTCTCTTATTGTTAGTTGCACGGTCTCGCTCATTCGTTCCAATGAAGCACAACACCAATAACTATATGTTCTCACACACAGAGTTCCTAATCTTCGATAATTACTGGTGACGCTCTAATTCTATTTTTGGATGGCGGCTGAGGGTCCAAGAAGAATTTGTCGCTGTTGCTGTTTCGAAACTTCTTCGACTTGAACTCGTTCGGCTTCGAAGAGGACAGGGGCCGCCAGAATAGTCGCGGAGCTGAAGAAAATCCACACAATGGTGCGCGACAAGCCGTAAGCACCACAAGTTGCTGATTGCTGCAAAGGATCAGGATGGATTAGAGCCTGGTCAGCAAGTGGTTCTGATCTGGGGGTCTTTATCTGATGAATCTCCACTAGAAATTCCATGTGCTTCTGACTCCTAGGCGAAGGGCCACAAACAAGAGGAGCTTTTCGATACATGAATCGCCTCTAGGTCTTTCCGAATACGACGGGGTGCAGCGCGGCTTGAAGAAGAAAACCTCAACGATCGAGGTAAGGGAGCGCGTCATTTATAATTTCGTGACTCCCTTGCCCCGCGTGACCATTCGCGTGGAGCTTGGCTGCGCGAAAAGCTATCTCATAATGAGCGGAATGGGTCGTCATCGAGACGTTCAGATCAGGACCACGACGGCGCACGCCGACGGCTCACTCACCGTGCCATGGACCAACTTCGACGTTAAAGTCCTCACTGTCTCCGGGAACATCTCCGTCAAACCCCATAGTCGTTCCCCTATCGTTTCCTCGATATCATCATCGTCGAGCGTGTCTTCCAGAGCGCTACGTCCACTTTTAGGTTTCACTGGCGCTACAACCGCGTCTCTGGCCATCGCGGCGACCGCTGGACTCTCGGGACTCGATATCGCTTCGAAACCGGAGTCTAACTCTTCGGCATCACCGGACATTGTTGAGAAAGGACACGAATAGAGACACTCGCTCACTGACAGAAATCGTGCATGAGGTTCTCTGCCTTCCGCGATATAGGGGTGTCGCGATCATTGGATCTAGCGTAAACAACGGCGGAGCAGACGACTTCGAGGAGGAAAAGAAAGAGGCAGGCTGCACGAGGGGTTGGCTGTGCAGCTCGTATGCGAGAGCCAGAACGCCCGCTCGAGCCTCCCTTCCCCTCAAATCATTTTGATATCTAGTCCGATTGTATTGGATTGAATCTCCTACGAAGGATCGCTGTCAGATACAAGTAGGCTGCAGCGATTACATTTATCATCACCGAACGCGATCGGAGCACCTATGTTTACCTCTCGCTGGGCAAACGTTTCGGCGGGCAGATGCCTCACCGCGGAATAGCCGCTCGAAACCGAGCTGCGGACCAAGGTTCGATGAAATCCGTGTGGACATATGTTTTACGAGATTTCACTCCGATGGGGGGCTCTTGGTTCCGAAACGGAGGGACGATGTTTTGAGTCGTCAGCCGATTTTGCCGACTTCTGTACTTGAATATTTGGGAATCAAAGACTTCGTCAAACCGCATGGGGACTCGTGACTCCTGACCCTTTATATTCGAACTTCCCCATGTCATCACAGTCAGGCTTACTCCTGATGTCGGACAGAGCACCGATGGTAAATCACAGTCGAGAAAGTTCGCTTTCACTTTGATGACTTCGAGCGCGACCATTGGGGGAAAGCTATTTTCCCCTCGTGCTGGATTTACTTCCGACCGGAGATATTCGCCGTTTCCAAGAGGAGCAACTTCCGAATTGAATGAATCGTGCTTGTGACCGGGGACATTCGCTGACTGTGCAAGGGCTGCCCTGAAGCCCCAAGTCGTCAAGCGCTCTTGATGGGTGGTACTCCCCCCCGGAGACCCATTCTTCTCGGGTGAATGCCGAAGTGGTATAGAGAACACGGCCGACCGAGCCGCGATACCTGGCCTACCTCAGAATAAGGGAGAGGGGGGAAGCCGTTTCTTTGGAGCGCGGAACTAGAGTATCCCTTTGAGGAGACCACCCTGGATAGGATTGAATAGGAAGCATCACACGAGAACTCTCCTTTTCTCAAGTTCCGATCTGGCGCTAGAGACAGCAGTCGTATCAAGATAGAATAAAGCCTTCATATTTCACATGATAGGAGAACATTCTAAATTGCTGCGTTTTTCAGTTTCCGCGAGTTTCGAATGGCGAGTCTTTGGGCTCTCTCTCGCTTAATTCAGGTCGATCCTCAGATGCATGCGGGAATTTGACGTCTATCGGCGATAAGGGGAAGCGAACCTCGGCAGAAATCTGAGGTTCTGTATCCATCTTTCTGTGAAAGTAATGAAGACTCCCAAGTGACTTAATGCTATGCGCCCATGAAAGGGTTATTGTATACAGCCGAAAATCATAGCAGCTCCCATTCAGCTCTGCATGTACGTATCGCTTTAGGATGCAGTACTTACTCTTGAAGTCGCTACCCCACTTGGGAGTGGGACGGAGGACGAGACGAGTGGTTCGACATCAATTCGATCTCTCTCTCTAAAATCCTCACCCGGAAATCACTTCATTCCGGAGGCGAAGGCAAGCGGACCTCGTCCGCGCTCGAAGGGTTATCATCCGACTCCTCCAAAGTGAGATCCCGCACCTATCCCTTAGTCCCGCACCGATCGACTGCAACATGAGAAGTACAGCGTTCGAATAATAAAGTCTCGTCTATCCCTCATTTCATGATGCTCTTCATTTTCGGGTGGATAGCTGGAGAGAGTTCGAGCCTCGCGCGAGCTGCTTCAGCTGCTCTTCGCAGCGTTCCTGACGGTCAAAAAGGCAGAAAGGAAGCCTGCGTGCCAGGAGGGAAAAGTCGGGACACTCGATCGACGAGTTCCCGAAACGTCCTCCCACACGAAAACCCCCTCCGTCCACAGTGAAACCTCGGAATCTCGAGTCCAGTATCGAGCTTGATGGGGGTGGAGTATTACTCACCGACGCCTGCATCAAGGGATCAGGATGCAGAGACCTCCGCGTATCGAGACGCCGAACTCTTGAAATGGATCTCTCTTACTTCGAAACACTGCCATCGGCACGATACGGGGTACTTCTCTTGCACATCGGATGTCAGAGCGTTTTTTTAGCCTGGTCACGAGTTGGTTCTTTGTGGTGGTCGACGACTGCCTCGATACCGTAGACCGTCCTGCAATCGGAGTAGATTGATGATAGAAGTCCGCGCACAAGCAATCGAGTTCAATGAAACAACCTCGGTGAGATGAGAGACCAAACTTCAAGAAACTGTTGGGAGGGGACAGCACACAAGCCCAAGGAGATCATGCGGAGGTAAACTACTCCTAATGCCATCGGATCATCCGCTCGCCCACTCCAAGCATACCGATGGAATGTTCATAGATGGATTCATGAGTCATGCGGATCTTTTCCGATCAAAATCACCTATGACAGCCTCGCTAGGGAAATAGAAAGTCGAGTGCGTCTAGCCAGATGGCAATCTCTGGAGAAAACTCCAAAGCGCAAGCAACATGGAGAGGACTCAGGACATTCTACATGACCATCGTCGGCGGACAATCCGGAGTATTCGTTGCACTTCCATTCTCAGCCGTCGATATCTGAACTCTCGCAGGCCGGAGGAAGAGTCCGAAAATATGCGTTCTGCGTGGGAAATCGTCAGCTCCCACGTGAGCATGATGAAATCGAGATCGGAGTCAAAGCCCCTGAGATGTATCCGAAATACTGAAACCTCCGAGGTCGCGAAAACCGGGAACCTCCGGAAAATTATCAAAACAGCAAATCTTCTAGGAAAAAAGCCTCAGGAATTCGAATTCGGAGCGCGTATCGACACGCTCTCAAGCGGAGAGGGCGCGTGATGCTCTCGTCTAACCTGAACCTCGCGTCTGCCGAAAGGCCTCACTTGGCATTCACTCGTGCTGCCCTAGGATCGAAACTCTGCAAGATGCGACACTCAGATCCATCAGAGAAGCGGGATAAAGAATCAAGGAATATCTGCGGACGTTGAGATTTCGTCGGGTGGAAGTCGGGGCTGAGAACTTCGGCGATTACCTAATTCTATCCTCACATCTGAAGAAACACTTACCTATACGAAGAAGCTAAAAAAAAAAACTTACGTATCCGGAACCTCGAGCGGGCATGTGTACTGGGCTCTACGGTTTCTTCCGACGAGGCCGCGGGCCTGATATTAGAGTCTTGAGAAGGTCCCCGGATCCTGACCGCATAGACCGCACCTTGCTCCATGACAATTTTCTAGTCCTCGATGTCTCCCTAGACGGAATCAAGGCAACTCATTGGCTTCTTGGCCGAAGGATGGGAGGAGCCTGTGGATGAAATACACGGTGGAGATCAGAATCTTCTGAACATTCTCTCTGGTTAAGCTCTCCGCTAGAATGCCTGAGCACCGCTATGAAGGCGGAGGGTACCGCGGACGGCTCGCCATTGGGCTCCGAATCTGGACCCGAGCAGAGCGAACTTTTCCACAACGGGTGCGCGCTAATCGAGCAAATCGACCGGTGTTTCCACGGCAGGTGTTCGAAGTACTCACCGGAGCCTTCGCTGATCCGGTCGCTCACATAGTGGTGTGCTCTGTCTATCTGTACGGCAGTGGTGGTGCTGCTTCTCCTGAACTAGACGAGATCACTCCAAGCTCAGTGCACAGATGATTATCCACAACTTCCGAGCTCAGCTTCTCAGAACTACGATCTGAGGGTTCTTGGGATGAGGGCATGATGTCGTCACCGCCTCTGGAGCCACCAGACGTGTGATTTGGTCCGTGATGCTGCACAGCGTATCTTCATACGCTCGACGCAAGCATGAGGAAGCGTACAATGTCCACGTATGGAACCCAGGGGGTATGGGTGCGCGGGTTAAAACACTGTGGAAATGGAGTCTCTCGACAGGAGAGTGAAGATGATGATGTCGATGATCTGTGCTGAAAATTTAGGCGTGATCGGGCGGACCCCCTTTCTCGATGTTCGGTCGGCTCTTCTTGGACTGTGGTCTATCGAATAAACACCTCCTATAGCTCCAAAAGAAGGGTTCTCTCCATGGAGAGCGATATGCATGTTGACATGGCGGCACTTCCGCGGATTAGGACTTCATCCAGTCTGTGCGAGAAGTATACTTTTTGATTTCTTGAGTTTAGAGTAACGCAGACACGTCGAACTTGTCAATCGGAGCCGATATGGTCTGACTTTCTTTCCATAGCCTCTCCTCGGTTCGCCGAGATAGGCCCGATGGCTTGTAGTACGGGGTCTATCCAGATAGTACCGGGGATCGGTCAACCATGGCCCGACGAAAGGGAATCGGCGTTCGTCGGCGTTGAAACTGGCTGGTTCAACAGCTGGCGATTTGAGTATGGTCTTCCCTCCGCGAACGAGAGACACAAACTTCTCACATCGCACCCCTCAGTTTTTGTAGGCAATCCATTTCTGGTCATGTCTTCAGAAGGTCGACTTTTTTCTTCGTTTGTTTAGACTCAGTCTTCTGATTCGCGAAATCATGCATTGATAGGACCCGAAGATTTGCTCCAGTCCGCCTATAATTATTTTCGGTCTGGCATTGTGCAGAAATATCAGCGCGGGGAGGAGCTCGCTATATCTGGTTCCCTGCCTCTCCGAGCTAGATGCTTTCGGCCTTGGATTCATAGGTACATATGCGCCGGAAGCTATGATACTCCGAGAGCCTTACCACAAACTCCTTTCGGAGGACGAGTTCGTCTGAAGGATGAGAACGTTGCCTCGAGTCGAACCGCCTGTTCCGAAATTCGGCGTTGCAACTTGCGACAGGGAGAGGGCTCATACTTGCCCCCATCGATGGAACAGTAAGCATATGGCTCTTCTGGGTCATGAGAGGTCGAAGCTTCCCGCTCCTAGAAAGCTTCGAGCTGACTTCTTCCTGCTCTCTGGAATTTTTCCGAGATTGCGTCTGACTCCCTCCGATGGAAATGATCCCATTTCCCGAGCAACTATTCAATTATTCCCGATCCGCCCCCGGTAGCGTGCCGATCGGGATACTTGACACACTTAGTTTCCGTACCGAACGGACTCATTCAAAATCGAGAATCCGGGGGAAAGAACGAAGAATTCGAGATATCACTCCGACTGATATTTCAGGGTGAGGGCTGCATAGCCGTTGATCGCACCACTTTTCTTCTCTTGCGGCCTGTCAGCGCCTCCTTCGATGGAGACCGAGCCTCAAAAGAGAACAGCCAGACGTTTCGTCCGAATTACGGGAAGCATTCTCTCATTGACTTCCGTAAACCCTTCAATAACCAGAATCGCTAACACTCACGGTGAGGATCCGGATCCGTGAGACGGGGAGTAATGTGGAGTTGGGCAAAAGGATTGGAAGCATAGGCGGTCGGTGTTGCAGATGTCGCTACCGCGAGCCATGGGGTAGCGGAGACTCACCCGCAATGTCAGCGGGACACCGATCTTCCCCGACATGGATCCTCGCCGATGTGGAGGCAGCTCACAAGGAAAACTAGGCCCTATGTAGAAGGGAAACTTCGTTTCCATAGGCTCTCATGGGAACGTTCCGCACTTGAGAAGTTCCTTATCCGCGGGACCTCAGGGTGATTTAGCAGGTCCGCGTGTCAATTATCGTGTGTTGCTCGATTCCGACAGTGCAATTCAAGCTTCCTATCTTGGTCGGCGATCATCTTCTGTGCCGGATATGGTTCCGACTGCTGTATGTTCACGAGGGGGTAGTTCCCATAACTCCGGGCTACCGACAATCCGAAGCATCACGGCTTCGGCGCCGCCGGAGGCCGTTGTTCACTAAATCGCTTCCAAAGTTGATACGAGTGTTTCGATGAAGAAAAAATTCACAGCAAGCGCTCTCTCTGTGATGGGAAATTTTGAACCATCGTTTCGTCGAAAGTATGTGGCTCCGGTTTCGTCAAGGTGTCGTACTCCGAGCAGCCTCGGTCCGCACAGGTATGATCGTTCCGAATTTCTGGATTGGTTGCCAGAATTCGAACGGAAAAATATATGTATATCCGCACTTGTTTCCGACGACCTGAGCCGGCCTTGCTGACGCGGAGTATGGGCAAGCAATCCCGCCGCCCGCCGCTCGGAAATCTTCCCCCTCACTGCGACCCGGAATGTAATCTGGAATTCCCGAAATTCCTGATTGTCAGTCATGGTACGGAGAATGATGACTTGGAATCAAGACAAGGGGTCCGTGGTCGCAGCAGGAGGAGGAGAAACCCTGGTTTCAAAACTTCAGACCCTCCGCTGAAGCATTCGAACAGTCTGCTGAGAGACAAGGTTATCCGGCGGAATCATAGGCTATTCGTGGAAGTCAAACTCTCTCCGAGAGGATCCGAGCAATATCTTATCTTATCTGTGCCTCTAACGTCGAGACCTCGAGGTCATGGGCCTCCAATGGTACTGGGCTATCCGGAGATCGGAATGAAGGGTGTGGAGACTAACGTCAGGCAAAGGAAGGGAAGGATTGGGGGAGCATCTGAAGCAATATGGGCTGAGGGGATATGATATTAGAGGAGGGGTGGGGATGCCATGAAGATATGGTTCCATCGCTTCGAGTGTGCATCATCGACTTCGAATGAGCTGTCCACAAACAATTGAGATTCCCTTGGGAATTCTCCCGGATATGATCTCGCTCGTTCGGGCACCTGCCATTGAATTGGGACGGAGTTTCGAACTTCCATCATGAATTCATTCATGCCCAAAGGAAGAATCGAATACGAAACGGTAGCATCTCGAGGGCGTGCGATTGGCCTTGAGGTTTGCTGCGGCAGGACTCAGCTGGCTCGACTGATCTTCCCTGCGCGGCGCTGATAGCGTCTGCTAACTACGCAGTTCAAGTTTGGCGAGCAAGCTAGTCAGGCGGCCGGCCGGTCTTCTCTACGCTCACTCACTCACTCAGTCAGTCAGTCAGTACTACAGCCATCAAAAGCATCAACAGCGATTGCGAAGCAGCAGCTGCTGTTGAAAACTTGAATGAACTCGCAACGCCTGTCTTGCAGAAGTTTCCAATGCTAGCGAGTCGGAGTGATGTGGTGCTCGTTTCTCAATTCTAGTTACGTTTTGCGATGTGACCAACAGCAGCAAGACGGCAACAACATAGACAGGCCCCTTGGCTCCATGGAGCAGAATGGTGAGTGTGCGTGTTACGCCGTTTGCTGGCGAAACAAGCTCTCTGCGCGGCTCAAGCGATGCTATCATAAGCGTCGAGTGCACCGCGGCGACCACTGTAGGTACCGCATACGTGCAGCAAATCAGCTGGAGGAGGACTGAACTGGTACGACCGCGGAGCCAATGGGGAGATGCGACTGTTATGATGGAAATCGGCGATCCGCGCACACCGCATCCACACGAGTTTCTTGGAACATGACATATGGCACCTCTGTGAAAATTATCTAGCTAGGAGAAGTCTCAAGCGGGATACGAGCCCGGTGAGATTCTGGAGCCCCCTTGGCGTCCGGCCGCAGGATTTTTTGCGAGAACCCTACTCGAGAACTCATTTCGCATTTTGACAGCTGCGGACGGGCTGCGGCTCATTGGGTGCTCCTCGTCGCAGTATTTCGATGATATCTTGGTGCAGATACTCCACCCGGCGAACATTGGACATCGCATCTGCGCTTCGCGCTTCTGACCCGGAGTTCTCCGATATGCGATGATGTGCTTTTTGAGGAGAACGACTTCTGTGGACTACAGCGCTACGCTTACGTACTTTGTTAGTCGTACTCGAGCGCTTCCGATCGATGTATCGTACACGCAGTCGTTGTTGAAATGGCTGGAGACCTCCATGCCAAGGCTTGCCGAGCCTCCCGGCAGCAACCGCTCACCAGATATGTATAGAGATCGGTTGACCATTACTTCGATCTATCTGTGCATCCGTTTACGTCTGGGAATTTCTGAGCGAGAATCGTCACTTCGCTACCAGATCGGAAGCTTCGAAGAAAAGTTCCCAACAACCTGTTGTTGTGTCTCGTTTCAATGAGTGATCGGCGGCATGTTCTCCCCGACGATTGTTGTTTTTGAGCGGTCGGGCTCGATTGGGAACTATTCGACATCGGCGCCCCAAAAATCCACTTTCGGACTATCCACCTTTGTCTACGATTACGGCGACCAACTCGACTGTGTCGCCGTTTTTCCGGGCCGGCGACTGTCTGTCGATTTTCCGCCTATCGACGGACTTCGAGGTTCGAGACTGCCCCTGCGACCGGCTCAGGGTTGGAGTTTCCGAAAAACGACAACCGCGGCAGCACTACGCAGAGCACGGTGACGACGGCGGACACAGGAGCAACAACAGCACAGCGAGAAAGCGGGAGCGCGCACGAGCGGCCGACCGGATCGAGCATCGTCGACGAGCGAGCGAGCGGGCGGGCGGGGTTCAGGGCAGCACGGCTGACGGGAACGACGCAGCAGCAGCTGGCCTCTCGCCTCTCTATTCGAATTCGGGCGCCATTCTCCTCTCCGGCGATTGGTCGACATCGCCATCTTGCTTTAGGGACGCTAAGTGTTGTTGGTTGTATGATCTGATTCAATTGAGGGATCACCTCGACCGATTCTCGGGCCAAAAAGCCCTAGCCAGACTCCCGAAGTCACTCACGGCACCCCTCTAGACAGGGAACTTCGCCCGGGGTTTCCTCGCTTCGAGTAACGACATGTTTCCGATCGAACAACGTGAGTACTGCATAAGGCTCTGTCCTCATTGACTATCGAAGCGATTTCTCATCGGGAAAGCTTCTCATCGGGCTTATCCTCCGAGTCCAGTGTGTTCTTCGAAGTGCACGAGGTATATTCGCAACCTCGGATCCGGTGCAGAGACCTTATCTCGTTGAGCACCGTAGCCGATCCCTCATTTGTGCTCCTCTTAAGGGCCTCACACACACACACCATTTCCATAGACGAAAGCTACCGGTCCGACTGAGCTTCCTAGCAGTGCAGCCGTGAACAGTACGGCGAATGAAGCTTCGTTGAGCGCGGACTAAAGCCGAACGCTTCGAATGCAAAGCGTTCCGTGCGATTTGCACCGTGATCCGAAATGAAATCAACCCCGGAGAGAACGAGGAAAAGCCCTGCGATGTAAACCTTACTTGACCAGCTTCCGAGGCGTGCCTGAAAATTTCACTTAAAGCCCTCTTGAAACCGGGTGCCGTTGGAGTTTCCTCTGCGTGATCGAAATTCGTTCGGAGAGAACTTGTACGGAAGGGTGATAGGAGGGGCCAGCCGACGAATCTCCCTTATCTGAACAAAACTAGGTTCCGGCGTTCCTGGCCACTCCCGTGATTTTCTCTATTCCAATTTGCTGCGGTGGAGCCAGAGCCCGTTACGAAATACGTTTCGAATGCTTCCCCTATTCTCTTGTGGTCCTGAACCCCTCCTTCACTGGAATAAATAGCCATGAAGAACGGAGGAACTGCATCGCATATTGTCAATGTGGGCCGCGGTCGATGGCTCCGCTCAGTGATGGAATCGAATCACATTGTATCCAGAGACTCCGACTTACTGAGCAAGCTGGAAAGGAGCTTTCGGAGCGTCACATCATCATCATATTCATGAATAGGCGTCGTGATCACTAATAAGGACGTTCTCTTTCAGCGGGGGCCTCCGGAATGGGTGCGCCAGGCTCTCAGATCCCTGCGCGTCCCCCGAGAGCGCTTTCGCCTCCGGTATCACTGGTGCCGCTGGGAGTCGCTGGGATGGGGGTCCCACCGCCACCGACAGAGATCAACTTCGTCTGTCCCCGAAAACCAAATGTTGGCACCGAGGGTCGGCCCATCACATTGAGGGCGAATCACTTCCAGATTACCATGCCCCGAGGTTATCTCCACCACTACGATATCAATATCACCCCGGACAAATGTCCCCGCAAAGTCAACCGCGAAATCATCGAGACCATGGTGGCATCGTGCTCGAAGATATTCGGCAATCAGAAACCCGTTTTCGACGGCAGGAAAAACATGTACACGAGGGACGACTTGCCGATCGGAAAGGACAAAGTCGAGCTCGAAGTGACTTTGCCCGGAGAAGGCAAAGATCGTGTGTTCAGAGTCGCTATCAAGTGGATGGCTCAAGTGAGCCTCTACGGACTGGAGGAGGCTTTGGAAGGCCGATCTCGAAACATTCCCTTAGACGCTATTCAGGCCATTGATGTTGTAATGCGTCATCTGCCGTCAATGACCTACACACCCGTGGGCCGTTCCTTCTTCAGTAGTCCAGAAGGCTATTTCCATCCGCTCGGAGGTGGTCGGGAGGTTTGGTTCGGTTTCCATCAATCGGTTCGTCCGTCGCAATGGAAAATGATGCTGAATATCGATGTTTCGGCAACCGCGTTCTACAAGGCACAACCGGTCATAGACTTCATGTGCGAGATCCTCGACCTCAGAGACGCAACGGAACAGCGTCGCGTTCTGACCGACTCCCAACGAGTCAAGTTCACCAAGGAGATCAAGGGACTCAAGATCGAGATCACTCACTGCGGGTCGATGCGGCGCAAGTACCGCGTCTGCAACGTGACCCGTCGACCCGCGCAGCTTCAGTCGTTCCCACTTCAACTGGACAACGGGCAAACGGTCGAGTGCACTGTGGCGAAATATTTCCTCGACAAATACAAAATGAAGCTCCGCTATCCGCACTTCCCGTGCTTGCAAGTCGGTCAGGAACACAAGCACACCTACCTTCCCTTGGAAGTTTGCAATGTCGTCGCAGGCCAAAGGTGCATCAAGAAGCTCACCGATCTCCAGACATCGACGATGATCAAAGCCACCGCCCGATCGGCTCCGGATCGTGAACGCGAAATCAACAATCTCGTGCGCAAGGCGGACTTCAACAGAGATCCATATGTGCAAGAATTTGGTCTGTCCATCGCGCACACTATGATGGAGGTCCGGGGAAGGGTGCTGCCTCCGCCAAAGCTGCAATACGGTGGACGAACCAAAATGCAGGCTATACCCAGCTGCGGAGTGTGGGACATGAGAGGCAAACAGTTCCATACTGGTGTTGAAATTCGAATTTGGGCTATTGCGTGCTTCGCTCCTCAACGAGGATGCAGAGAAGACTGCCTCCGAAGTTTTACTCAGCAACTGCAGAAAATCAGCAGTGACGCCGGAATGCCGATTATCGGCCAACCGTGTTTCTGCAAATACGCCACTGGACCCGATCAAGTTGAGCCGATGTTCCGTTATCTGAAGTCAACTTTCCAGGGCCTGCAGCTGGTGGTCGTCGTTCTACCCGGCAAGACTCCAGTGTATGCTGAAGTGAAACGAGTCGGCGACACCGTGCTGGGCATGGCTACACAGTGCGTGCAGGCCAAGAACGTCATGAAGACGTCTCCGCAAACCCTTTCCAACCTCTGTCTGAAAATCAACGTCAAGCTCGGCGGTATCAACTCCATCCTGCTGCCGTCGATCCGACCGAAGGTTTTCAATGAGCCTGTGATTTTCTTCGGTTGCGACGTAACCCATCCACCGGCTGGCGACACCAAGAAACCCTCGATAGCGGCGGTCGTCGGATCCATGGACGCTCATCCGAGTCGCTACGCGGCCACCGTCAGAGTCCAACAGCATCGACAGGAAATTGTCGAAGATCTCTCTTCGATGGTCAGAGAACTCCTCATTCAGTTCTACCGATCGACGCGCTTCAAGCCGAACAGAATTATCTTCTACCGGGACGGTGTGTCCGAGGGTCAATTCCACCAAGTTCTCCAGCATGAACTAATCGCTATCAGAACCGCTTGTCTGAAGCTTGAAATCGACTATAAGCCGGGTGAGTGCACATATCATGACGTGAATGCCGGGGGGAGCTCCTCAATCAGAGATCGGAGGCAGCTGTCCCGAGGAGCAAGCTGATTCCGATCGATGTTCCAAACTTGACCGAATACTCGATTTCGGCGCTAATGCTTCCTTGTCCACAGGAATCACACTGATCGTGGTCCAGAAGCGCCATCACACGAGACTTTTCTGCGCAGACCGAAAGGAACAAATGGGCAAATCGGGCAACATTCCTGCTGGTACCACGGTCGACGTCGGGATCACTCATCCCACGGAGTTCGATTTCTATCTCTGTTCTCATGCAGGAATCCAGGGCACGTCTCGTCCTTCTCACTACCACGTGCTCTGGGACGATAATCAGTTCACCGCCGATGAGCTTCAATGTCTCACCTACCAACTGTGCCATACCTACGTGCGCTGCACCCGATCGGTCTCAATTCCTGCCCCGGCATACTACGCCCACCTCGTCGCTTTCCGCGCGAGGTACCATCTCGTCGAAAAAGAGCACGACAGGTACGTCATTCCACGGTTATCTAGTTTTTCTCCATTCTGCTCTATGCTGAATATGATCTCCCGACTCTCTCTTCCTCTCGAACATCATCACGCAAAATGCATGCTGGGCATGATGTCATTAGTTGGCGAGCCTTTCGTTCCTATAGAGAAAACATGTCATCATATCTTACTTTGGATATCCTTGGAAGAAAACAGTACTGCATATTGTGTTTTGATTGACTTTCGTTTCTAAAGAAGACAAGTCGATCCCGACACGATCTCGGGATCGTCTCGAATCGTCCTAAACCCTTTCGCCTATATTCGTTCCCCTGATAAACGCTTGGCTTTTGGGTTGCTTTACCCCTTACAGTGGCGACGGAAGCCATCATTCCACGAACGGCGACGAAAACAATCCAACGGCGATGGCCCGTGCTGTAGCCCTCCATCCCGACACCAAGACGATCATGTACTTCGCTTAGGAGCCGCGCTGTCGTAATCCGACTATCGACCCGCTCGCCCATTCGCTCGAACAATGAATGCATCTCTCCACGAAACAGAGAATCCAACCAGTCGACCATGTTTTCTACCAATCCACCTCACGTCTACCAGTCAGAGAATCAGTCAAACAGTCGGTCGGTCGGTCGGTCGGTCCTCAAAACAGCCGTCTCCTTCTCTATTCTGTTGTATGCCACCTTCACCTGTACCTTCATTCCCGTCGAAAAGTCAAGCGATGGAGCATTCATACCACCCACCTGCCCCGCTTGTTGTATATGATTTAGTTGGCCTCAGAAAATTGACGTAAGAGTGATAAGCTCACGGGACGGGCTAAGGGCCACTCGTGAACAATGACTTACACGACTTTCAACGCACCCTCCAAGGATGGTAGGCTTCTTTCGTATCCCTGTTTGCGCCTCCAATGCGAAATTATATAGTTAGTTACCGTATCCGTTCAATATTCACTCTCCCGCATGTCTTATATCTCCTATCATGACACCTACAAGCGGCATGCTTGAATACATATTATGATCCGTCGAATATGTATCCAAGATATCAACATGCCGCTGTATGTGGTCATCCCGAACGGTTTCAAAATGTAGAAACGCGCCCCCATTCTTCGATGGACGATTAGAAACTAGAAACCCCTCCAAAATCGCGCTGAGCCTAAGACAGCATTAGAGATACGAATACCGATAGATGGTACCGGGTACGGCAACCTTACGATTCGGAGCATATATCTACGAGAGAGCTTAACGCACGCGTTAAATAACCTTTTACATCATTTCAGCGGTGAGGGCAGCCATCAATCCTCAAATGGAGACGACCGCACCGTGGTGGCTTTGGCAAGGGCTGTCACTGTGCATCCTGAGACACTTAAAGTAATGTATTTCGCTTAAGTGACTGGCATGCGCGCGGAGCTGCCGCAAATAAGTGTTCGCCGTTCTGTTGTGCGGTTTAATATCAACCGAGGGTACGTTCGCAACGGCTGATAGTTGTTTAGAGACTCATATTCATATTCAAACAATCGTACACTTACATCCACAAACATCATAGCGGAACACAATAGATCCCCTGAGCAAACCCAAGTACTTAACATGGAAAACGTAGTCATCCCAATGCCTGAAAGGATAACCGAGAAACAAATCGTGTCATCTCAAAGTGTTTGGTCCCCCGCCCCCCACCTTCTGGAATTTCTCTCATGAGTCGAAAGCTGTTACCCTGCGTCCCCGCCGCCAATCGCCCCTATTAGAGCCACCCCTCGCTCCAACATTTATTCCGAGAGGAAGCTTGAATGATGATTAGATATTCGATTTGAGACGGTCAGCTACTCGCATCCTATCAGAGCGGTAGTCTCCGCCGCCTCCAATGGACGGACCATCTCGATCGAGCTGAGACCGTCAAGAAACACCACAGATACATAGTACTTTAAGAGCAAAGGCCGATGCCGCGCAGAACAAGGACCGTTCTCCGATCAGGGCGATCTCACCAAAGACACACGGTATCGGTTCTGACTCTCTCTCAGTTTTCTTTGGGCACCTCTAGACTCAGTTTTTGCTAAACGGTACGCTTGAGTAGGTAAATAGATTATATATATATATTCACCGGACCCCTACATTAGAAACGACCGTGAATAAAACAATTGTACTCAATCGACATGTATGACGTAACTTCGTGGTTTTTGCAAAGTACACAGAGCTGGTCCGGACATGCTTGTCGCCGTTGAGTTGGGGGTAAACTTGCCGTATTGTGCTGGCCCTTCATTCTTGACCGTTTTTGCGATGATTCCATGTACATTGATCACGAACTTCGACGGAGCCATCCTGTTGGAGTCCAATGACATTTCCGAATGGGAAATGATACTGTTCAGCATCTCCACCTCATAGGTCCCGCATGCCGTCAAGCCGACTTGGCTCAGGACCGAGTAATTATCTATCGGGAAGTCTTAGTCATTGAGAGTCAATACACTGAGTCCGGCAAGTTCCCGTCTAACCATACATTTAAATCACGTATTATACTTACATACATACATACGGATATATGGGTGCCCGTAGCATTCCTGTTCAAGGTTTCAGAAACGTATTAGACGCCTCACTATATATGAGGTTTAGAATTGTGTCTGTAAGGCCGGCAGCGAAGCCTGCCCGAAACGGCCGTCGATCCCGAAATTTATCCAACTTCATGGTTAATTAGGAAGCCGCTCGAAGGGCGAGCAGTGAGTAGATCCAGCGTGAGGAGTACTAAAAAGTGTTGAGGAACTTCCATAAGGTTGGCCCAGTAAGTACACATCACGCTGACAACGCACTGCTCATCCTCATGCTTTCTGTCGATTCAGACTGTGAAGTATTTCTTACGTAGCGGAGGAATTTCACGACGGCGCCTCGGAGTCCATCATTAACCACGACTGTCTATCAATAAACTCAGCTCATCCTTTTACGTGTACCTCGGTTATTGTCTTCAGTCTTATCGATCCCAAGTCCGAAGCCAGAGAAGGATGGCCGAAGACGTACAGGGTCTCTAAGAAAGTCAGACTAGCCGGATGCGGTCGCTCTCGTTGAAGAGGAAGAGTATTCGGAGCCGGGAAAACCGATGCCTCAGTGAACCATGGGACGCGTGACAGTGTGTACGTTGAATGATCTCCACACAAGATTTGTTTGAACGACTGCATTACGGCACTCGGTGTCGACTAACAGAAGTTTCGGAGTCAATCGTTCCCATCCGAGGAGACGGAGAATCGAGCCCGGCTGATACTCTGGTAGGATTCGCGGCGAGCGAGAATCTCGGATTGGAGCCTACGATGACGGAGATGCGGAGAATGCGGAAAAAGAGGGGAGCTCTTCTGATACAGCGAGCCGTTTCGTGTCCGCTCCTCCCCTCGCCACGAGGAGAGCGCGCGCACGTATCGCGTTCGTTAAAGTTATCCGTCGTCGCAATGATGATGATTCATCGAGTTCTAAACACCATAGAATGGGAGAAGAGCAAAGACGTGGGAGAGACGATACCATGATCCTCGATAGGTATATTGCGCACGAGGCCGGAGAAAGGACATGGCTTTAACGGGGGAGGGATCGCGAATCACATTTCTGCATTTCCATCATTTGCTTTAATCACATCCCGCTGGCTTTCGGCACCGAGTCCTTCCGAAGATTAAGCAGCGTTCGATAAGAATTGCACAACAATAGCAGATTCGAGGGATCCTTGAAGGTGAAAGCCCTGATTCATAATTCATGCTCAAGTCGCGAAGAAAAGTTAAGGCATAGAATACAGATGAAACGTTTATTAATTCACATATAAATATACACAAACCGCATGTATTCCGTCTCTCACGATTGTTCCTCGAGAGCTCAATTCAAATGTACATCATCATCATATTTTGATTCTCTGGAATGGAATCATTTTCGTCCGGGGCGTCACGATACAGCGACACATTTGCCGGCTGCCTCCTATCGAGGAACGGATCGTCCCGTTCATCAGACAAATCCGCCAGCGAGCAGTCGGATGGTCGACGGAGATCGGAACCCTCGGGTGAGCAGAGTTTCTGTGGATTTTCTTTCTCCCTTTCGCTATCCGGAATACCGCGGGGAATCGTACGCAATATCGAAGTATACAACAAGTATCCCGAAACGCCCGGAAACCATAGTTACTTCAAGTTGCATCTGAACAGAAGTTTCTCCGGAGCGTTCGCGTGGAATCTATTCGATCGAGACGAGCGGAAGTCGTAGCTCGCTCTCTGTACAATCCCCGGGCAACATTGATTGGTCGCTCTTCATTTTATTCTTTGGCCACGGCTTCGTTCCCCGGGGAGCCGGTCGTAGAAAGCTCTGATTCATCCGAATCTCGCTCGCAAGAGCTCTGTTGGCTGTCTGCTGCAGCTTCTCGCTTGTTGTCGGATTTGATGTCAGCAGTCGCCGACACCGAGGTGGTGGCCGCTAAGGGCTCAGACGTCGTCGCCGACGCCGTTGAAGCGGAGTCGACTGGAGACAGAAGAGACGGAACAGCTGCGGTAGCCTCGTTCGTGCCGTCAATGCTGTCGCTCTGACTGCTCTCCACGACTGAACTCTGATCCGTCGCTGAGGGCGAACATTTGGCGGCGAGAAGCTCGAGCGGAGTTTTCTCCGCCTTGCTCATATCTTGGGATTGGGAAGAAATGCTCTGGAATTGTACTGGGCTAGCGCCTGAATCTCCACCAGACTCCGATGGAACGTAAGCTGGATCAACCTAGAAGGACATTAATGATCACTGACGAGTGAGAGAATCCACTCGATCCCCGTCCCTGGACGCCAATTTCTAGATTGAGAGAGAAAGGCTTCGGCAAGATGGACTCCGAGACCAATATGTGCTCTCACCTGTTGCTCAGCGTCGGGTTCCAGGGGGCTTTCCCGCGCGTCTCCATGCTCGAGATCAGAAGTCGCGTCATTGCTGCAACTGTCCTCAGCTGAGCGCGTCGACGCGTCGGTCTCTTCGGACTCAGACTTCTCTGAAGACTGCGACGACGAGGTGTCTTCGGCTGCGGCTTGTTCACCCGCGCCGACAAGGATCTGCTGCTCCCGCTGCTGCTGCTGCTCCCGCATCTGCAGCTGTATCTGGAGGAGATTCTCCTGAGAGGATCCTCCCTGTTGCACTTCGGCCATTGCGATATCGAAGTTTTGCGTCGGTGTGTGCGACGGTATCGCGTCTGGAGCCTGGTCCACCTCGATGTCCTCGATCCCTTCCTCATCTTCTTCTGTAGCTCTCACAGCCATGGAGCACTCGTCGAAGTTTCCTAGGGATTAGAATTCCGTCTGTCAATGGAAGGTTCCCCGGACTCGTTGAATCCGCCAAAACTCCGAGGCTCGACCGAAGATTCACCGGAGGTCTCACCGACAACAACAGGTTGGCAAGGGGCTGGGGGTCCTGAAGTATCCATCTGCTCCTCATCTTGCTCCTCGGAATGGTGACCATTGGTTCGATCCTCAAATCCGTTGACAACTCCGCTCAGATGAGGGCTCGGACTCGACGGACGTCGCGGCTCCGTGGTTGTCGTCACCAAGAGGTTTTTCTCGATCGCTGCGGATTCGAATTCCGTTAGGAGGTCGCATGGTCACCGGCCCCTTATCCCGAGTCGTTGAGACAGGCATCGATATGCGACATCTGCTCGCAGATCCATCGAGCTACATACCTCGCATGAGTTTATCGATTCGCTTGTAGTATCGCTTCGGATCCACCATGACTTCACACAGTCGCTGTATGGTGAACGGTGCTTGATTGAAGTATTCTAGAGCTTCGAGTATTTTCTCTTTCATCAGGGCATATTTGAACGAGTCTACATTAGGGGACGTCGGCACGGAATCTGGAGATGACGTTATCAAGAAATCACAGAGAACCTGCAATGCGGTTGGAATGATTAGGTCATTGGCCGCTGAGGTGAGTGATCCACGATTATTTGGCGGTCAGGTGGATTCGGGAGACAGTCGAGAGTAAGATGGCCATCCACAGCTGATATTCCCGTTAGGACCGACCGTGACCTGGTGGACTTCCCACTCTGAGGCCGTAGAGGACAACCCCCGACGGACCGCGACCGAGAAACCTCAAATCGATGACTGAATTATGGCGAATCGGGAAGCAACGTCTTCTAGGGACAGAAGACGCTGACGATAGATGCGAGCAGAGATCCCCAGCATCAGATAAATCGGGGAAAACGCCTAATCCTTCGCTTCGATCCCTCGTTCGAGGAAGGCCGCAAGAGACCAAAAACCCCAGAGAGCTCCGGGAAAGGGGGTGGACGGATCGTTCCACATAGCTGACTCCCCATAATGAGCGACTCCAGCCCGCTGCCACATACGAGGACTCGAAAGTTTTCCGAGACCGACATCCAGGACCATGGCAGTCGATTACTTCTCCCTCTTTATCACTTCGTAGACCATGCTTCTCAATGAGGATTTTTGGCGGATTTTTCCCACTGCTGCCTAGGAACACACCGCGTAGACGACCGCCATGAGCTCGAATTCGAGCCGTGAGATGTTCTTACCTGCTCGATCTTTCTTCGCATAAGTACTTTGATGATCGTCCATGGGAAAACAGTGTCCCCAGTGGACGCAACGAAATGTAGGTATTCCTCGAGCAGGCTCGGAATCGGGATATCGCTCTTGACATCAAACTCATTCAAAGCCTGAAGCACGTCCTCTTTACAGACGTTCTCCATCGTCGAATACCTTCCACAACCCACGTCTAAGACACTGAGGAATCCCGAGCACTGTGTTTTCCCTCACTTATCCGGCCGCCTGCTTCCGATTATGTTTTCTGCTGTTGCAAACCAACCAGCAGCAGCAGCCCTACACAACACAGAGAGAAGACACAACAAGGAGCCTCTGCGCTGCTGCTAGCGCCGCCGCGGTTGCCGGCCGCCCGCCACCAGCGCCGCTGCTTATTTCTCGCCATGGACGAGACACGACGAACTGGTCTTTTAGACGAACTCGGGACGGGCTCGCCGAGGCGCCGTATTCGAAAAGCCCAGCTTCCGGCAATCCGCTCCCGCCAAACTTGATTCTAGGATTCCAATGGTGACTTCCGAATATGGAAACACGCATCAACTTCAATTTCATCCCGCTAGTTTCTAAAGCTTCGGTTAGCATCGTCGTGCAACCCGAGAGCCCTCGCCAAGTAGCGTAGCGTTTGAAGAGTATAGAAGGGGCGGTCCGCTCAGGGCGACTCTCCGACTCTGGTGGCTTTCAGGGGCGGCTTTCGCGGTTTCCATGAGGAAAAAACTTCTCCCCGTTATGGGGAATTCCAAACAACACCTCCGGACGGCAACGGATGTCTGAAGCGGGGTACCATCTCTGCCATGCCCGCCTCGTTCCCGCGCATCTGATCCTCCTCGTTAGAACTCAGGCGCCTCCGACAATGAATTCTCTCTGAGTCTGCTCCCGTCTGCGTCTGAAGTACTGTCTGTTCGAGTCGCTCCCGGAATATCTGGGATCGGGCCGCGGAAGCGGTTCATTCTTAGCTAATTTGCTCCCCAGTCAAGCCGAATATTGCTGGACGAGGATCCAGCCCGGCCGGGCTTGTTCATGAGACGGCTTCTCCGTCAAAGACCCGCGCGCACGCACCATCGGAGGAAATGGCACACTCCTGAGATTTGTGGGCTGTACTTGAGTACGTCTATCGGAAGGCATCTCTCTTTTCGGGACATAACGTGACCTCCCTATCAAGGCACGCTGCGCGGAGCCCTCCGATCCGTCGTCCTCCGCCAGAGACCGCTAGTCAAATCCAGGCTGTCACTCGACCGAGGGAAAATGGTATTAAGCACCAGTGTCCTCTGCGATGGAGAATGAAACTTTGGCGCTCGAAGTTTGCTGTCTGCTCCGTGAGCTCAGAATGGGCGAGGGCAGAGTGAAACCATAACGTAAACACGTCATACGGTAGCACCATGCAACAGCATAAGCGTAACTAGCCTACTTGCCCAAGTACTGTAACCGCTGCTTCGATTACTTACCACGATCGTGGGCCTGCCTGTGTATATATCGAGTCAGAGCATCGAGCGGGCCCGTATTTTTCCACATTCTACTGCTTTCGCCGCTTGGTCCTGTGGAGGAATCATGTCCCATTCAGCAAGCATCGATCTGTCTGAATGTAAGTCGAGTGACTGTCCATGCTTCGACCCCTCTGACGTTCTTAGCAAAGCCCATGAACTCCTCTGATCGTTTCGCGGGGCATCGATACAGATAGGTCGAGGGTCGGAAAAATCGTGTCGTCCCTAATGTTGGAGGCATCAAGAAGTTTCGGCGCTCAATCTCGGGGCTCCTCAAGAAGCTCCTCAAAGGATTGGGTGCTCCGGAATCCCCATTTACAAGCACATATGCACCATCACGACATCGACTGAGCGAGCTCCCTCAGCGGCCTAGCGCGAAATTCAGATCTCGGCGCTCGCTGCAAAGATCGGATGTAACAGTGAGGTACAAGGGAACGTACACGATTCTCGGATAGACTTTCGTTCGAAAACTCGTCCGGGATTGGATTCCGAGCTTCCGAGCTCTCTAAATCACTGCTTTCGGACCTGATGAAAGCGGCTAGCGAGGACACTAGATTTCTGGGCGGAATATTTTCGGAACTCCATCCTTTCATATTCTCCTGTCCAATAGCCGCAGGATTTCGTCAAATCAGGATTTCCTATGCATCGAAGCTCAAGTTCTGGAGGTGCCTTGATGTTCTGGTCCAATCCGGATGCCTCTGACACTCGGAACTCATGGATATATCGAATATTTTCTCGGGAGGGGCTCGGATCTCGAACGCATGAATGCCTCTGGAAGGAACGCTGCCTAGAGTCGAGATCTTCGATATTCCAAGTATCGGCGGGAGCGGTTCCGAAGTGTAGGCGGAGGAAAGTCCCCCACGCCCGAGGATTTTCCGAGCGAGCCTCGAATTAATCTCCGCGTCAACTGATGCGCACTGGACGTCTCGAATAATTGCATTGGAAGGGGGTGCATGAATTACGGACGGCACTGTGTCCGAATTCCGCGACTGCAAGCGTCTACCACACTCCGATTGCCCACCGTGTCGCCTCTGTTTCGATTGGAAGTTCGCGACGCCTCCTATTTTTCAGCATCGGTGGAAGTATCCTCATCGACTCGCGAAAGGGAAACGTCTGAGAGGTTGATACGCTCGCTTGTCTTGCGGTTGCTCCCAGAATTTCCCGTATCCTCCTTGTCCCTTCTCCCGTGACTGGATTCAAGCGACGCTGAAGAAGAGAAGAATTTTCATGGCGCGAGGAAGCCCTCAACGTAGCTCTGCGAGGTTGCCGTCCGCCGAATAAGTCGACGTTCGAATTCCGAAGGCGTTCTCTCGTTTCCAGGAAGCTGTGAGCGACGCCTCCGGAGCTCCGGACCTCTGTGGTGAGCTTCCCGCGAAGGTCAGGGCCATGCCGACTCCCTGCATTCACTGCCAACATCCGCAGAATGTACCAGGAGTCTGCTTGAAGTGCAAAACTGGGCAACGACAATTTTCCCTAAAGAACGCCGACGGAACAAGCAGCCCCAGCTCGACAACAGCTTGTTCGAACGCAGCCAGAACTCAACTCATATCTGACAATTCAAGACTATCCGCGGCAATTCAGCGGCCTCCTCAAAACATTAATGATAATCAGGTGGGCACTGATCCCGAGAACATGTCGTGTATGATCAGGCGGCTCCGCGGAAGATTACGCAAAATCTCAAGATCGAAGTTGAAATGCTTCTAATCGAAGAGTCGGTTGGTCCCCACAGGTACAAATCACCCAACAGCTCCAGGCGCGATCGAAGCTGACCTCATCAACGAAGCCGATTCGGGTGGCGACCCCGCGGGTGATAAATCGGAGTTCAGCGGGGCCACTCCTGAGCCGAAATCCACACGTGAACAATTCCACGTCGCAAGTAACTCAACAAATTCAGCAACAAATCTTCCGGCGGGTGTCGAATCCTCGACAAAACTTGATCTCGCCTCGACCAGGAGTCACCAGGTGCCGACTCGTTCCCAAAAGCGGTACTGATCATCGAGGGACAGGAGGAACGGAGATTCTCGATAAGAGCTCGCAAGTCGCTTCTCCGGCTCGGATCATCAGTACGGCATCAAGTGCGCACAATACGTCACCGGTGGCGGCCGTTGTGAGAACTCTGAATAGCTCTCCAGGCTCGGGGATAACGCACCTCGTTAGATCCGTCAACCCGATCGCGGCACAGCCTGTTGTACATTCAAAACAGATAGTCAGAGTTGGTGAGCCTGCTGCTTTGGCCCTTGTCTCGCCCACAACGCCCGCAGTACCAACGCAGTATAAGGTGACCGTTTCGAATGGTCACGTACCACCGCTGTATAAAATAGTTTATCCCGCTTCGTCTCGACCGGCGATTTCGGGTTTTAGTTCCAATCAATTGACGCCTTTGACGGTCGGCGACAGTCAAGTCGTCTCCAGCCTCTTGGTAACACCCTCCGGAGCTTTCCAAGTTTTCCGGCATGCTGCGAGCCCTCTCACACAGGCACAACAGAACATAGGCGGTTCCGAAAGGATAACAAACGAAAGGTACGGACTGCGGCGGTCCGAACGACAGCGAATTCCTCAGATCATGTCCCTTGTGTTTACATCATCATCTAGATCATTCGAGCCAGGAATTGCGGCATAGGATATGGGATATATTCCAGTTTCGTCTCTGAACATATTTCACGGTTCCATCATCGAGTGACTGACGGTATTCATTGCTGTTCCTTGCAGTAAGCCGATGATAAGCCCAATGCGGACGCGGATTCTGAGAGCAAGGGTGAGTTCCGAATTTCGCGCGAGATGGACCCTGAGCGTAGATGGAATCCATCTGGAAGGGTGCGAGGAATTCCCCGGGGCGCGGATTGCGGCCACGAGCCAAGAATTCATGGCGGAGCCGAGCTGAGCGACGGTTCTCATCGCCTGAATAGTCATAATTGTCATGAGGAGAATTATATCCGGATACGTGGGCGGTATACCGAACTTCTCGATCGCTGGGAAGACGCATGGCGCATGTTTCGCTTGATCCACGCGACCTATCGAGGCCGGGCCCAGGCCATGGTCGCGTTCCCAGTAAGCGCCACGATCCGCGACTTACCATCATCCCTATGGAATCGAGGCGTGCAATCGTAAAATGTACAAGGAAAACTCGCGTTTGATTTCTTCCTATCGGGAATTTGAGAAAGGGCTGCAGTAGATGTATGTCTGCGAGGCATACTGTCAGCAGCTTCACTTCGTTCGCCATGGTTCGCTTCAGGCTTCAGGCACCATCGCTAACCTCTTCGTTCTCCTTTAATCAATGCTATTCACACTCGTCCGGAGACGGCTACTGGTTACTGCTCCAACGTGCCCCGCTCAGAGGGTCTAACATGTGGTCTCACTTCAAATCACTGTTTAGCAGATTGGTGGCCGAGCGGCGGCAGGGAGTTTCTACCGTGAGGCATTGATAGGGACTGGGACAAACAGCTCGTGAAAGGGCTGCCGAATGGCTCGGACCGAATGTCGTCACACATTGACCGAGTGCTCATAGACGCATAGACTTCCGATTCAGTCCCGGATCGGTCTTCAATAACGTTGGATTATGGAATTTTCTAATTTCGAATCGGTGGGAAATCCTTCCAGGCGTTACCATCCGCCCCGAATCGCTTGGCGATCGAGCCGCCCCCGGTAGTCACCATCGATGACGAAGAAGTCGGCTCGAGAAACCAAGAGTCAGAGATGGGAGCAGACTGCAATATTGACGATCCAGGGATCGCTGATTCGAATTTTTACAAACGTGAGTCGCACTCTCTCGTTCCCGGCCCTACGTGACCCCCATGAGAATCGACCAGCTCCCGGAGTACCCTTCCACCGTCTTGCTCCTTTTTTTCAGTGACGATTCTGAAACATCCCGATGAGATCGACAGAGGAGAATTCAGACTCCGAGCGCAGCAAGTCCGCGTGGGCACGTTCCTTTTGAAGGATCGACTAGTTACGTTCAGTCGGAGCAATTTACAAATTCTCGCCCGTCCAGTGGATTCTCTGACCCAAGAAGTGAGTACCTCCAGAGTTTCTGTCCCTCGTGACCACGGAGCCGAATCTCAAGGTTGTTCGGATGCTCCCTCGATCACCAGGTTCCCGTCCTGCGTGATTACGTGTCAACAATAAAATTGATAATTGGAATCCTTCCAGGTGGAACTGAATTTCACGTATAAAGACATCCTGAAGACCATGTGGGCGCTGAGTGCGGAGACTCCGGCTATGTTGTTCAATTTCTCACCTGATTGTGGAGAACGGATACGAGGAGCTCTGCACATGAAAACCCACGAGGCAGTGAAAAATCGATGGTGTAATGACGCCAAACACCCATATTTCGAACCTAAAGCACCTTTCGAGAGACAGCGACAAGTCGTCATATTGCTCGGTGAAGTATGTCGAGCTATCGATATGATTGGCTTCATGTGAATGTGGTAATGCATGATGAATGAGATAGTTACATTCAATTCTCCGAATTCTAGTCTCTGAGTGAGGAGGAGTACAGATTGATCCAAGATTGTTACATGAGTCCCAAAGGGCATATGAAAAAAGAATTCGCAGAAAAAATACTGGAACTCACAGCGCCCAACATAAATACGCCCGAGACGCCTCTACCAGGTAAGGCTGGAATCACTGGATCGGAAAGAGGGAGAATGTATTGGAAGCGGGTTCGAATCCTCGCTGGAAGTCGGTCCTTGAGAGCCTGCGACCGAGGTTGAAATCTTAGCGCGAAGTCCTTCCTTTCAGTTGAGGAGTCGGTCCCGAGCATCCTCCAACCCCAGGAACTTATGCGACCGGGCACGAGTTCTACGATGAGACCTGGAATCCGAAAGCGAAAAACCGGCGATGATCCCCCGTCGCATTTCGTTACCGGTAACGGAATCGTCACCGTCATGGCAGTCCCGACGGCTCGGGCTCTGCCGAAACTCCAGCCGGGCGTCGTGTTCACCGACGATTCTCCCATCTGTCAATATCCCCCGTCTGGCAAAGGGAGCATCGTCATCAGAGCTCCTGACCTGCTCACTCTGATGCCCGACAAATCTGTCAACGATGCAGTCATCGATTTCTATCTCTCGTACATAATTGGCGAATTGTTGCCGAAGGAGCGCGCCGACAAAGTATTCGCTTTCAATACTTTCTTCTACTCCTCGTTGGTCAAAGATCCTCCGAAAACTGTGGCCACGGGGATCCCAGCGGCTCGCAGGCACCACGCGAATGTAAAGCGTTGGACGAAGGGAGTCGACCTCTTCGCCAAAGATTTCATCCTGATACCGGTCTGCGAGCATTCGCATTGGTTCCTGATCATAGTGTGCTATCCCTGGTTGGTTCCGAAAAAGCTCGGGATCAAAATGGACTGCATGAATAAGGATGGCGCAGAGCCGAATCTAGTCGATACGCCCGCCAAAGATTCCCCTGACTCCAGCACTGGAGGCCCCGATCCCTTGAGAGTGAATCAAGCACAGAAAGACTCAACGCCTGCAGTTCCGTCACCAATGCAGCGGAGGAGTGATCTCAAAGCTGGAATCTTCGTTTTCGATTCGCTGCGAGGGAACGTGACGCCCTCGAGTGTCTACCCGTTGATAAGGTGAGTCGAATACGATTACGCGTTGCGATAGACTCTTTCGTGTTCTTCATGGAATGTATATGGCATCTGCCTGGCAGAATCTCACGAGGACATCATCGAGCTAACCCTTCGGCTCCACAGGAATTATCTCACGGAAGAGTTCCTCGTTAAAAAAGAGGTCGAGTGCTCGTTCGATTACTATACCATGCGAGGTTACTACCCGATAGCGCCGCAGCAGACTAATTTCCACGACTGCGGAATATTTCTGCTCGAGTACGCGAAAAAGTTCCTGCTCAACCCACCCGCACCTGAGGACATGGGTCTCGGAAGTAGATTCAACAAAATGTTCGATCCCGACCACATCATGGAGGAGGGTCGCTGGCATCTTGCGGAGGCGAGTCGCGAAATTTCGAAGAGCATCTGTCCTGGAGGGTTCTGTTGTGGAGCGGCGCCCACGGATTTGCTCACCCCCTCTTCGTTTTCCAGGTCATGTTTCTGTTGAATGAGAAGCAGTTTCCAGAACTGAAAGGCATGCCCCGAGCGAAGTACGAGAAGCAGATCAGAGTGAAGGGCAAAACTGTCGGCGAAGAGACCAGCTTGGTTCCCATCAAACGGACGCGGGCGGGAAACGCGCCCAAATGAGTATCTGGACCGCGGTCTACTCCGCATCGAAAATCGGAGGCGACTCCAGGCGCTGATGCGCGGAAATCCAAACTTTCATGAAACTTCCGCGTCTTACCGGCTGCGGACTGTCTTGCGAGAAACCTTAGGTACCGAGCCGTCTCTCGGAAGGGGACGTTGTGGCGTTTTGTACATTGTTGACCTCAACTATGATGGATGGTCCGATATAAATTGTTGATGAGCTATTCTGGTCTTCTTCATTCCGAGCCTTCAGAAAGTTTCCTTGCGGCTCTTTCTCGGAGACATCCATGAAATGAGGAAGGGTATGAAGGGAGCTCTCACTTATCGGGACATGGATTTCCCCACATCAATTTCGCGTCAGCGGATCGTTGTCCGAGGTTTCGAGTTTTTTTACCCATGTGTTCTATCCGCTATAAGCATGCAGCCACCTGCCTGAAACGCCGCAAGTGGATTGCTCTCGGGCTCATGGGTCATCGAGGAAGATGAAGAGTAACTGTCCCATTCGTCCAGCGATCAGGAGTCGTCTCGATATCGGAAGTTGATCTCGTCTCGATCGATCTAAGTTCCAGATGGTCTCTGGTTCCTTCGGCTCAGGCTCAGTTCATGCCGAGAGACCGCGCTCCGGATTATAACGGAACAGGGCTGGACGGAACGCCCTCGACTCGTCCTCAAGCACTCCTTTCTCTGCTACATTAACAAGAAGAACGAGTCATGCTCCTTGGAAATTCTCATTCTTGATTTATATTATTTTTACAACACTTTCGATCTTTGTACAGGCGCATCAGCCAGACTTCACATCGGGAGTGAATGACTTAGAGAGTGGGAATCGTTTCATGTACAGATGGTCAAAACTATACTCAAACAAATTACGTGGAACGGACATCGTTTTCGGCATGGAATCGCTCGACTAATAATAATTCTCGTCTTCGTGAGTCGGACTGCGTGGCATCTTCTGCAGCAATAGCTTCTTGATGATATCCTGAGTCGAAGCGTATTTCAATCTGATCTGGCGGAGATATTCCGCTTCTTCCATGTCCAAAATTTTCATGAAGTTTTCTAGCTCTGGGGGAGCGAACATCTCCCAATTGATGTCCGCGCCGTCGTTCTCTTGGAGAAGGAACTGGCGATCGGTGAGGCCCTTGTCCATCCAAGTCAGGGTCAAAACGAGAGGTATTTCATCATCTGCCAATCGTCGCAGCTTTAGCTTATCCTCGCCTTCCATATAGCTTTCATATAGAGCGTACTTCAGCGGGGAGTCGGCGACCTGCAAGTACGTCGAGTATTATATTTATCTTCCAGACAAGGTAAGAATCCTTGACGCAGAAGCCGAATTGGTGTAGGGCGGAAATCCATCAAAGTGAGAGAAGACATATCAACTCCGGGAGGGATCGACTCACCTTGAATTTGCGCAGCAATGTGACTATAACAGTCTGAGCAGTCATTTCAGAGTCAACATGTAGGGCTTTCATGGTGTCCATCGGGAGATAGAACGACGTCAGTGTTCGGTTCTCGACCAGAGTATCGTCTTGCTTGAGGGCGTCGTAGATCGACGGGGGTCTAGTTCCGGATATGACGTTGATTGGCCTCATCAAATTCATGCATACCCGAATGAAGCCCGTGACTACCATGGGTCCCGCATGATCATCGGGAGAAAGGCTCATCTCTAAGTCTGGATATCGTCTGCAAAGGAAAGAGAGGACTTGTAACGGACTGCACCAGCCATATCAAGGAACTCGAGTCCGATGAGGTGTTCGTAATGTCTGCTCGATCACGAAAACGGGAGCTCGAGGCGGAAAAAAATATCCGTGGAACTGCTCATTCTTGCTCGGACGATTCTGTGATGTTCCACGACATGCGCCAGACTATTCACCAGTGCTAGTCTTGGTACGGGAAAAGATTGGGAACGAACGTTCCGTATGCGGGACGAAAGACTCACTGAACGCATGGAGAAATAAGGTGGACGGAAGTGTCTCTCAACTCACCGGTTGTGTTTGTTGATGAGGTGCATAACCTCCTCCCTACTGAGATTGAGAAGGCTCAGTGGTGAGGGGGATCTCTCTACTTTTTCCACTTTGGATGCAACGGGAGGCTGCGGTTGACAGTCCACGGTGATGAACTGTAAACAGCCCGTATGGCAAGTGAACTTGCATTTGCTGCACTGGGCTAACTGGCCTATACCGACACACCAAATCAAGTCTCCACAACGATCACACCACGCCGGGTGGTCGAGAGCTGCCGTCAGAAATTCATGGCCCGAACCCCGCCGTTCGATGTTCTCAATCTCCACCATTCCGAAGGAGGCGAGCTCGATCAACTCGCCGGCTTTCGGTCGTTTCTTGCTGGGGAGCGATTGGTATGGGATGAGAGGGAACGAGTAGTCTGATTCGAGGGTGCCGTCTGGTGTCTGGGAAGCAATGCATTCGATTGTCAGAGATTGTACCGGAGCTGAGAGAACTCGAATATTTTTATCCTAATGCTCATTTAGCTTGAACACGAACACCCTATTTTACCTTGGAACCCATTCTGCGACCCCCGAAGAAGAACGATGGCAGATTCTGCCACAATACTTGTGGAATAAAGTTGAACGTTGAGGGCCGATTCTGCTCGTTTGTCGGCGAATCTAAGGTACCCGGATGAATGGTTGCTGCCGATTGAACTTCTGGAGTGGGAGCGGTCGCCATAGCTCTGCTAATAAGGTACCCGGGATGTCATTCTCGTTGGAGCAGCACCGATAAATTCCCAGTGAAGCCACCAAGAAGTTAAGCGCCGAGGCTCGATAAGCTTGGAGTTAGTAATTGTTCCGGATGAACTTACAAGGTTAGTGCCCGATCAGAAGTTCATAGCGTAGGATGCGGGAGTGTTATCGCGAATGAATTCGATATCGATTTAGTCCGTTACCGCCGTGCTAGCTCTCTTCTTATATGAGTGCTTCATCGATCGCGACTCTGCGTACGAAAGGGGACTCACAGAGCTTGTCGAACAAACTCCTCGACAGATTGTCTCCACAGTGCCAGCTGAGCGAGCCACCAAGCGTCCGCCATGTTTGTTTACAGATGTGCCAAGTGGCGACGACGAAAGTAGCGGCGCGATGGCAGCGAGCGTCAAAGTACCGCGGCGGAGACTTTCCGGGGGCGGATTTCCTGTCATGGGCTCATCGTAAACGGCTGATGTGTTTGACATGCTAACTCGCTTGCACGAGTCTGCGGGTCCTTTGGATCTCCCGGAGTTTTCAGCTCAGGCCGGGAGAAGACGGGATTTTTCGGGATGGTGTGCTCACGGGGAGGTCGAAGAAACGAGGCATGATAATCCAAGAAGGAAACTGGGAGATTGGCTTCGCTCTGATTTTCTCGGAAGGCTCCAACCTGATCCAGGACGAGGTTCGAGGGCCGGGTTTCCTGTCCTCGGCCAATATCCAAAAGGTTGAGCGATTTCGAATCCGATCCATTGAGGTGAACAGAGAATTCTTCCCACAGACTCTCGGAAAGTGCATTCTTGCTAGTAAAGCCCCTTCACGATCTGAGTTTATGAGGAGAAATCTGATAGAATTCCAAAATCGAACACCGCAGGATCGGAAGAAACCTCTAACATGATCTGGAGCTTGGATCGAAGATCGGGCCTCCTCTCGACGACGTTTCCGGGTGTCATGGGTCCGTATACGTTCATGTAAAAAGCTCGATAAGCTTGGAGTGATCGAAGAGACTTCTCCCGAATGCTCTTGGCTCGTTCCAGATGTGCCTCGGCGTTCGTGGTCTTGACCGAATCCCTTCTCCAAGCTGCGCCCTCTGCGCGACCGTCGACCATGCGAAACCCTCATCCCAGGCTCCCGTAGGCTGCGCCTAGAGAGCCTACGCTAGCAAGCTGAGGCGAAGCCCGCCGCTTTAGTATAGCCATCACGAATGTAATTTTCGTTCGTTGTCAATATGGGCGAAGCTGGCTGTGAGAGTGAAGGAAGCGGACCAGATCATGAGATTGGGATTCGCTCCTGATTGATGATTAATTTTCGGAGCCATAGGACCTTCCCAAACCTTTCCGGGTGCCGGTTAACCGCTGCGCTGAGAGACTGATCGCGAAAATGCTCCGAGGAACAAGTATTCATCGTCGACGCCGAATCAGCGAACTCATGCAGGATTTGTTCCGTGCAGATTGCACGCCGGAATCGAAGGCGTGCAGAGCGGAGATCGCATCATCCTTCGTCGCACCGTGGAATACATCGTATCTCATTTCTATTTCATATGTCCGTCCCATCGGCACCAACGCCCAGTCGAATCGAGAGTATATTCGACTGAATCTCCGAGTTGGAGTCCCCCGTCAAGAATCCTCTCAATGAAGTCTTCAGGAAGCCTCATCTAGAGTCTGAATCGTTCAGAAGACTCGATGTCGATTTGTGGTCATTACCGGAGCTCGAGAGTCCATCGAGCCGTATACGACTAGGGAGCCCTATGAGCACTGATCTTCGGGATTGCGCAATGGAAGGGATGCTGATCGCTAGAAAAGAGCGCCGTGTTCTCCTTCCGGCACCGATAGACCATCCGTGAGAGACTGGACTCGACGTCAATCGATCGAGATTCGAACCTTCCGAAACTTCCGCATGCGAATCGTTCCCGATCGAAGCTGTTGTACCGGGGAAGATATCAATGCGATCTGCCAGAAGTCAAGCGTAAATGATCAACTTGATGAAGAGCGATCGACGAAGAATAAACTTCGCGATGGTTTTTTATCCTGAAATGGTTTTTCCTTCGTATCTCCCAAGCTGACATCGTCCTGACTGTCATGACGGAATTTTCCCCATCCCTTCCCACGGCTCAAAAATCTTGGTCCATCGAATTCTCTCTGCCTTAGAGAGCTTAGCCGTCGGCCTGTGTTTCCGCTCCTCCACGTGATGCCGGCATGTGACTCTTCGCTTTACGCGAGCCATGGCCACCGGCCAGTCAGACAGCTCTTTCAGCTCTTGTGACACCCGCTAGTAATGTCCATTAATCGCTGAGAAATGTCACCTGAATGAGCCGGTATCAGATCGAACTCGAAGCGTGTCGAATTTCTCCAATATGTCCCAAATGAGCTAGTTGGCTCGCCTCCTGAGTGAATTGCAATTGCAGTGCTGAAACGCTGAGAGCCTATTCATCGACGAAATAAATATGTTCGCTAGATACGACTTCAAAGCGCAAGATCATCCAGATATCGGGCCTCTTGTAGACAATCATGAATCTCCCGGAATAATTCATTGGTTCCGCCGAAGAGCAATGCCGGGATCAGAAGATCATTTCTGTACCGTTGTAGATCAAAGTCCCCGCTACCCTTCTTACGCAGGAATCGACTCCGAACTCAGCGCAACCTCCTTACGGGGGGATTCTCCGGAGACATGGAACCATCGAAGCCCTGCCCTTCGATCCTCATCAGTCGGCGCATTGAGAGGTGGGAGAATCCACTCCTGGTCTGCATTCCCGCACGCCGGCTGCTTCAGCCATGACCTGGCCAAGCGACGATCATCTGCATCTACTAGATCGACATTTCACCTGGATGAGTAGGTCTCTACTACCCCATATCCTCGTTCTGAAATCTTTCGTCGATTGCGGTTTTTAGCCAAAGCTGCTCATTGATCGAGAGTAGAATATAGCGGTTGGGGAATTCTCGTCGCTAACGATTCCGATACCGGATGAGTCTCGATCGCCACGAGAATCCTGGCGAGATCCTCAAACCTTCCTTCCTCATTGCTCCACGCGTTGAGCGCGCAACTAACTCGTCATGGATTGCATGAATCATCGTTGCTGACTGTAATTCAATTCGATGATCATAACCGAAAACTCGTTACACGTCAGAACTTTTTCCTACACTTCAATAAGGTTGTCAAAAATGAAGCATTGCAGGAATCAGGTGTGTTTGCAAACGCCCAACTCCGCTTTCATTCGAGTAATCACGGGGCGCAGATGGATCATGTGACAGAGGCGGTAGACAACGGAGACGTCCGTCGCTAGGAGCAAACTTTGAGCTCGGAGCGCTAAATTCCTTTCCGTACGAAATCTGAATATTTTCCCGCGCCGAATCGAATTCCCTCTTTTCTCGACTCACCGGGCCTGAAATTATCTCATACTCGTCCCACCTCATGTGAATGAGCGGAATCAGGTACAGTGTACGAGCACTCGATACCGCCGATGGCGCTGTACACTGACTTAGTTCCTCCCAGAGACCCCTACCTAGATATCTACAGTCCGGATTGTGGCATGTGATTGAGGACAGAATATACTTAGCTGGTTATAATCGCTCCGTGTTTTATTCATGCATTCACAATACAACGAACGTAAAACTGTACAGTAACCATCTTAAATCATTTTCCTTTAAGTATACTCTTCGTATGCTCGTTCACATTGTCATTCTACTTGGTTTAGAGTCCTGTAGGTCTTCCGATTCGGCCACCATACGGTTCGAACCAGTATGAGGTTCGGGGGCCTTAGAGTCTCAGGAGGAGAACTCTCGCCTAAGCCTAACAGTTCGAAGTGTCCGTGAAGAGGGAGATATGATGATGTAATAAATTCAGCACATTCAGACAGAGGCCAAATCATAGACGAAACGTTTGCGGAAAAAATTTGGAATATTGCTGCTCTAGCTAAAGGTCTCTCGCTCATCTAACTAACTTCTTAGAATGATGATGCACTCGAAAACATGATAAGAGCGACGATCAGTCCGTAAAGACCCAAGACCTCGGCGAAAATGAGGATAAGGATCATTCCTACGAAGAGGCGAGGTTGCTGAGCGGTACCACGGACACCAGCGTCACCAACAATACCAATGGCGAAACCTGCGGCAAGCCCCGAGAGACCGACCGCGAGTCCAGCTCCCAGATGGCAAAAAGCCTTGGCGGCCGAGTAGTTCGTTGCCGAGATCGAGGAACTGATGAGTACGGCAACGACCAATCCGTAGATAGCAATAATACCGGCCATGACCACGGGAATGATGGATTTCATGATGAGCTCAGGCCTCATCACCGACATGGCTGCGATTCCGGTTCCAGATTTCGCCGTTCCGTAGGCGGCTCCGAGAGCAGAGAACACCATGGCCGCGGCAGCTCCCATAGCTCCGAAGAATGGAGTGTACATTGGATGCTCAGCAGACATCTTGCTCGGTCTGTGGACGTTGGCCTGAACGTACAAGAAGGAGTTTCAAGCGAAAGTTGGTTGGTTCGCTGGGCACGATGCGTCGATCACCACTGCTTCCACTGAGTGACACTCCACTCAGCCAGGCTCTCAGCAATGGCTGAGTTTTCACGTGACTGCTTCGAGCCGATTGGCTGGCGCATCCTGACGTATCGGAGATGCGAGAGGAACGCGCTGCGCGCCAAATTCTGAATCGAACCCGCCCATCAAGCGGTTCGTTCGCCGGTTTACCCTTGGGTTTCGTGCTTTGGAGGCATAAGACTCGCTTGAACAATCGACGTCAGTCCGATCCATCGAGCCTTTCCAAACCTATCCGAGTGAAGATGATTTCTCAGCTTTGATTGAGCCGAATCGAGCTCATGTATACCTCTCGGAGCATCAAGGGGCGCTCGTTTCGAAATTTCAGCTGCAATCGGCCAGCCGTGACGTCTGGGTTGAGCGTTCCCCAGTTGAAGTTGTTTCTCGGTCCTGAATCAGAGGGTATGACAGTCGCCCTGTTGGGTCAAACCCCGGTCGGATTCCGAACGGAGGTCGGAAAAAAAACTTCGGGCTTTGACTTGCTGCAAACTTCCACGTGACTCCTCAACGCGGATTGGCTCGAAATCCGTGACGTCACGTCTCTGGTCCTCGAATGCAGCCGTCGGGATTAGAACTACCCCACGAAGTAAAGCACATGGCGAGCGTTTCCTCCTGACTTCGACCTCTGAAATGACGGCTAACGGCGACGGATATTGTTCGAATTATCTGTAGGACGGTATCCCTTTCTATCCTTAAGCCCGGAGTCCGCATCAGGGCAATCTCGGTCAGATGCTTCTTTCCTTCAAAATGCGCGGAGCGATCACGGAATTTATTATAGGGGGAAACGATCTCACGGATCCGTGGAATCCGACCAGCCGTCAAAGGGACAAGCTCAAAGAGATCCTCCCGAACTGAAATTGCTGGTGTCGCTCAAGTCGCCATCCTCAGGGACTAATCGTTTCCGTATGCTAGCTCATCGCTAAATAATAACCTGAGTAAGCACTGAGGCTGATTCGATAATCCTCAGCGAAAATCGTGAATATTGTGCAGGGTAAGCGACAGCGATCGATTCGCTGGGAGTCGAAAGCGTTCACTTCGATAATTTTCTGTACTTGAGGGTAACGGTGGCATCTGGATCTTATGACATTTGAATACCCAAGTTGTGGGACCGAGGAACTCGCTCATTCCGATCGGGGTTTTGGTAATCGCGATCGGTTTTTCGGTGGCCGAGATTCAGATTCTAAGCTTCCATTGGAGAAACTTGTCGATGTGAGGGATCGGGAATGGAGAACGCAAAACTATGGGCTGACTCTCCGGGAGCGGCTAATTCGTATGATCATATCGGGATGAAGAGAAAAGATTGTGGCCGGAAGTAAGCCTTTAATCAGAGGACTCAGGTAAGTGAGGTCTGAGACATCGTCAACCACTCATGGCCCCTGAGCCTTGCGGCTTCTCACCAGCAGCGAATCGGGAATTTGTGGGAGCATATCCAGAACCGCCTTGGCCCCTTCTTTTTCGAAGAGATGGTGATCGATTCCGCCGCAGTCTCTTAAATTACATGAGGACCCGGCCAGACCTAGGGGGTCTTGTGCTTTTATTCACAGATTCAGTGCATCGTCTGATACAGTCTCGCCTAGTCGGAAGCGTATCTCAAGCTTCGATACAATTTTGGAGCTGGGCTATCGTCGAATCTAGTTCCGACATCGAGAATTCCACTGAGGTTCGCCTCGAATCCGACGAGCCTGAGTGGGTTTCGAGGCTCAACGAGAGACGCAGGAGGGGAGTTTCTTGCGAGGACAGATGACTGCTTGCGGCGACGATCAGAGCTGTCCAATCAAAATCACACAATATTTGTTTCGGCAAACTCGTCCCACGTTGGAGATGAGCTTTGAGATCGTCTTCGTGTCGACTGAAAATTAGCCGTATTTTTTCTTTGTAGGGAGTCGACAGGCTTGTGTGCGCCGCTAGGTCCTGAAAAATACGGAAAGGTTGTAGCCAATCCAGAACGCTTGCTCCCACATCGAGATTCCATTCTCCTCTTGGGCATTTTCGGGAATTAGCCGGTCATCACGGAAGTATTTCGAGTTGACTCTCCAGCCCACGTGCGTCACACCGATACAACATGAGCTCGGTCAGCGACTTGACTCGAATTTCGTGGGATGCGTTCGCCCCGAGAGAAGCAGTGTGACAAACTTAACACATGATCTCAACACCAGACGGATCACATGCTTCCGGAAGTCACGCCGATACATTCATTGAAGAGTTGACTCTAAGCGATGTCCTTCGATCCCAAATCATTCATATACATATAATGCCATGTCCGCAAGAATTCGATGCTCACCGCAGAGTTCGAGCTCGGTGATAGACAGTGATTCCGGAACAGTTCGCTGAGAGCTTTTGTGGATGCTTGGAAGTCCAACGGCGATAACTCAGCGTATTGATTCGACTGCGGTCCGTCCTTTTGTTTCCCCGAGAGGGATGCTCCGAGTTCATTCAGGAACTGTAAGGCGACCACATTTAGATCACAAGTAACGCCTCCCAGATTAGGAGCTAAAGTGACAGTTCATGAGGTGAGGTCCTCCTCTAAACGTCAGGCCACAGGCGAGCCTTGAGTTTTCGGCCTGGTTCGACCCTCTCGTCCCAGTATGTGAAGACGAGAAACATTCAGCAGAGAGAATTGCCGGAAATTGTTACCCCGATTGTTACCCGATTCCAAAGCCATGATAGAGTTCGGTAGAACGAAGGGTCCGATAAGAACAACGTCGACGCTCAAATGGCAGCTCAGTAGTCGAACGGCTACTGCAGAGCGGAATTAATCAAGAAGGCGGCGATGTCGCCTTTTGGAATTTATCAGAGCCAATCCCCTTCGGGATTGTATGCGAACCTTTTCTGCCCGTTCGAGCGGAAGTTTCTCGAGGAGAAGAGCTCCATCAGTATAACCTCGGAGCGAATCCACGGGCGCCGCCATTTAAAAGTCTGTTTACGGAGTAGAATGACTATCGTGATCTCAATCCGGTCGCTCGGCTGCGCCGCGCGGACTGCGCTGTCAGCTAGCTGTCAGTCTCTCATCAGTCTCTCCTCGAGCGGCTCTCTACAGTACTGCGGAGGTATCCACATCGGCCTGCGCGCTGAGCTAGCGGCTCCTCGCAACGCCACTTAAATAAGTGGCATTTTCATGGAATCGTATCGTCGAATATCTTCAGAACGGGTTTCGATCAATTCGGATCATAGCATCCGTTCGACGACGGGGTGAGTAGAGGGAATATCGAGTCTCGACACACTTTTTTGCCCCCAGCTCTCGATCAATTGTCTTGAGAGAGAGTCAAGACTCTCGAATCCATCGAGGATCGTGGGTTATCCCGGAAAAATCAGTGTCGGCTGCCTGTCTTCGTTTCGATAATCCGGTTGGAAAATCCCAACCATAGCGCACTCACTTTTCAATTGTATTCTAGATATTCTCATTACCTCCTTTTGTCCTGAGGTCTTGCTGAGGACGCGTCCCGAAGGATCCGTATTTTCCCCTTTCTCAGCGGGTCGGAAGCATGCCCGTGTTTCCGGGTATTCTTCCCGCTGCCCGCTCGAGGCGAGTTGAATTAGGGCAGTCTATGGTGATCGGGAGTCGAAGATCTGTCTTCGCCCGATACCCGCTCCTTATATGTACCTGAAGAACGTCGTAGGCCCAGAGACATGAGTCGACGGACTCCAGGAATTAAAGGGATAACTGACTATGGCTAGCCTAACGCGTCCCTCCGAAGAGCGCCCACCTTTCTCACCTTCATAGGTCTCTCGAGAATGATCGCAAGAGGTTCACACCCCGGAACGCTGGCGGATCTGGGGGTTATGCGCGGAGTCACTATGCCACGACCGTCGTCTGTTTTCCTTAAGAATTCCACGGCCGTCGATGAATCGCATGCTTGAGCATATGTCTCGCAGACTCGGATGATATTGACAATGTGGAGTCTATTGATGGATAGAGATAGGGATAGATATTCTATACGATCATACATGAGCACACATGTAAATGTCATAGGGATCGGTAGGTATAAGTGGAATTGTGTGCGGGAGGATACCGAAACCGACGTTGTCCCAAGCGGAAAAAATGGGCAAGAAGTACTCGAAATATTTATTTCATCAGTTGAGATGTCGGAATGGATTCCGTGAAGGAATCGGCGAGTTTCTCCTTAAAATCCATGGGATTTCCCTCGCAACCCTGGAATGTCCGCTGGTGTCGGGATTCGAGGCGGTTCATGCCTGTTCGACTCCAGCTGACGGTGGGAGTACGGCCGCGAATGGGGTTCCCTCGAGAGCTTCCCGGATTCGGTCTCTCTCGACTTGAATTTTCTCTGTTTTCTGCGCCATCTCCATCGAGTCAGTCTCCATAATTCCCTCGCATATCGCACAAAACTCTCGGATGAGGGCCTCGATTCGCTGTGGAACATGGATGAGAGATACGATTATTGGCGACTTTTACAACAGGGATTTCGTTCGATCTCACTCACCCTCGCTTCTTCGTCTTGTTTGGCCAGTGCCACAGTCAACTCCATCGAGATGTAACGGGAAAGTCTCTGCCTGGCCTCGGAAACGACTGATTTTGGGAGCTCCGCAAGTTCCGCGGCCTGGAAAGGGAAAAGGTTCAAGATCCGCACGCCGTGACTCATTTCAGAACACCCTTCGTAACCTTCAGTCGACCGGTCAGGGGTTCTATAGTTTCGCGACGTGACACTTACCTGTACACCAAAACTCTGGCTGCATGGACCGGGTACAACTTTGTACAGGAGTACGATCCGAGAATCTTCTGCCAAAGCGCTCACGTGGACATTTACAACCCCTGGGATCTGCGCTTCGAGAGCAGCCAGCTCGTGGTAGTGCGTAGCGAAGATGCAGAAGCTCCGCTGTTCCGTGCTTATCTCGCTGGAAATATTGTATTTGATTAGCACGACCGACATTCATCTCATCAAACGCCAGAAATCATTCGAACGACTCCATCTCATAGCGACGGAGGCTCCTCGGTGAGTTAGCACTACTTTCGAATTTCCCGCCAAACCAAGATGGCCGCGCCCTGACTGCTGTCGCGTTCGATTACGCATTACGAGCGGCAGTGCGACTCCGTTCGGAATGGAGATCTCTGAAGAGGAGCTAGAACGCATGGCATTAGATGCGATCAAGAGAGACATCGAGAGAGCGAAGATCCGGGCGAGTATCGCTGGGGCAACAGCTTGGCAACCGCCGAAGAAAATCAACAAAACCTTCTTAAAGAACTCTGTCAGGAGTGTTGAGAATGATATTCGGAGAGCCTTGGAGAAGAAAGGAGCCCATCGTTCCCGCATCAACGCGTCGCGGGGCGAACCATGTGCGGATCACCGGCGGAGGGGGAGATCACGCAGCAGATCCACAGAGAAGGTCGCTGATAGGGATCGTGACCCCGAGTCGTCTACGGTCAGAGGATCCAAGGAGAAGCATCGACTGCAGCCGCCTGGCAGGAAACGTGGCTCCGATTTTTCTCGAAGATGAACCCGCAGCTTCCGACCCGAGCTCAGAATCGGTCCACGCGTGACTCCGTTCCGCCACGGGATATCATTCGCTTCGTTCCGATTCGGAAACGAATCCGGAGGATCCGCGGACCCGGCGTGGTGTCTCCCGCGTCTCGTCCGAGCTGAGTGAGGAAAACCCTCGCTGAGCCTGCCGAGACCAGCCCCGCTCACCATTCAGGTCGGATTGAATTACTGCTGCCTGCAGGTAGCGATGAAAAACTGTACATAACTTACTTTGAGATTGCCCAGGCTAATCCCAAGCCGTCATATGTGGAGGTGCCCCTGCCCAACTCGTCGATCACTATGAGAGAGTTTTCGGTGGCTGATTTCATGATGAACGCAGTTTCGAGCATTTCGGCCATGAATGTAGACACCCCTGCGAGGATCCACGGCGTATTGAGCGGGGCAAAAGAAGGATAAAATGATATCTCGACGTCAATCGCGCCAAGCCAGAGAGTATGCTCATCCTCCTCAAATTTCTCCTGGGAGAATCTTCACATTGAAATGTTAGGAAAGTCATCATGTGCAAGATTTCCAGATCTCGCAATCATGACACTTCACGATGGGAGATTATCGAATTGGTGCGAGGACCATTTCCCGTTAGACCCCGAGAGGCCTTATTATGAAAATGTTAGTTTCCGTTTCAGACTCCTTTGTACGAAGCTCTGGTCCTCTAGGAATAAAGAAGAGAATGATTTCCACTCAAGAGCCATTCCTCTTACCTCTAACGATTTCGTCCCCTGCTCCCACGCGCGTCAGAATAGCGTCCCGCACAGATATCGTCGCTTCATCGCAAGGCACGAAAGAACCTATCTGAGCCATAACCACGCTCGTAGCGACCTGAAAAATGAATTTCGCTGGGAAGGATCGATGCGTCGAGTTTTGTCGACCCGTGACCCAAAGGTTGAGACTCCAACGTCAGCATGATGTTCTTACGGCTCTCATGAAAGTGGATTTACCGCCCATGTTCGGGCCAGTGAGGATCTGGAAGCGACGCTCATCCTTCGTGAAATGAGCATCACTCGGCACGTATTGCGATTGCTTCTTTGCCACAATCGGATGGCGGACGTTCTCCAATTTGATCTCTCCTCCCGACATCTGGAGGATCTGAAAATTCCCGACCGGGAGTCTGTGGTAGCTTTAAGTTTGGAGCGAGGGGCGATTGGATATCGGTTCCCGTGTGGATTTCGTTCTTGTTTCCGAACAATTTCGTTTCCCCGAACCGTCGGATGAACTCACCTTCGGTCGCACATAATTACCATCGACTGCCGCGACTGCCAAGCCGACCAACGCATCCAGCTGGCTGATATTGTCAGCGAGCTGATACAGCGGATCAGAATATCCAGACGCAACATCAACGATATCGCTCACTAAAGTTTCCTGCATCGTTTTGTAGTCTGATTTCGCAGCGACGTACTCGGAGTTCAGGTCGCGAAGCTCCCCGTTCGAGAATGAAACCCCGTTATTCTTCACGTCGGCGATATCGAAAGCTCGCTGGGTCTTGATTCGGTTGTATTCCTTTTGAGAGAAGAGTTCTGTGATTAGTCGGAGAAGGATACCGTTTCGCAGAGATTACCCAAATATTTGATGGGCCATCTGGAGCATTATGGATGTCGAAGCGTCGGACGTCTTCGACCCCTGCACCATCGATAACGGACATTCAACGAATTTTCCGTCGGACTTACGAAAACAAAGAGCGACGGAATCTAACCTTCTTGCTGACTCTGAAGACGAATCCTCCGTCTGTCGCGTAATCCAATTTGATCACTTTGCCTTTCTCGACGCTCAACGTTTGCGCTGCTTTAGTCAAGAGTTTCTCCGCTTGCTTTTCGCAATCTACTATGCGGTCATTGATTTCCTGAAGGAGGCATTCTCCATATGTATTGTCAATTTCATCATTTCCCCATCGTTGGCGATGAGTGATGAATCACGAGCAAGAACAACTCGGTCATTGTAGTACCTTGAGAGCCTCATCGAACGACGGCATCACGAGAAACTCCATTTTGCTCTCCGCCCTCTCGATATCGATGACTTGCTCAATCATTTCCACATACTTCTCGAAATCTTTCGTCATGCCCTGTAGGGACTTGACGATCAAATCGTCGAGAGAAGCGCATTCCCCCTGCGGTAGGGTCGATAGCACAGGACTTAGCGACCGGACTGAAAATCAGGTATGGATTACTCCAGAATAAAATCACAGTGTCATCCTTAATGGACGGCACTTTCAGTCGCGTAAGGGCCGTGTATCTGGGATTTGTTCGGGAATCTGACCTATTGTGTAAAGCTTGTACAAGTCGCTCAGGCGAACTTTCTTCTGATGCAGTTTTTTCGCCATGATGTGCAGATCAGGGAATCGTCTCAAAAAATCTTCGTGCAGAGAATGGCGAACTTCATTTGAATTCACGAAGAACTCCACGATATCCAAGCGTTCCTCTGGAAAATTTCGGAGGTATACAGGAGTCCGATCGCTTTGAGCCTATGTTCGAACACTATTCCTGAGAACGAGAACTAATCCAACACACCGATTTTGGCTGGATCGATCAGAGGTTGTTTGATCCACTCGGAGAGCAGGCGTTGCCCTCCTGGTGTTCTCGCTCGGCACAAAATGCCGTAGATCGTATCTTCTTTTGCGAGTTCATTCACTGGCAACAAATGCAGAGCGTGCACAGCGGCGGCGTCCAATCTCATCAGCGTGTCTGGTTTGAGCTCTTGCAGGGAGAACTGGGAGAACGAGCTTGGCGACGACGCGAGATTAAGGAATTTCAGGAGCGCTGCCAAGGGTTTCCGAGCTTGTTGAACTAGGAGTTCCGCTGCGATGAGAATGGGATAGAGCTGCCTCTGAGATTCGCTATCGAGTCGATATCGGAACGCATCGGAACTATATCGAAATCCTTACAGGTACAATGGTCAAGTATCGAATTCACTCACGAAGTATCTGTATATTCTTTGCCTGTTTCTTCCCGAACTTGTATATTTTCTCCAGGTCTTGCTCCAAGTTCTTGTCATTGAAATGATCCGCTGCGACTTCGTAAAAGGTGATGTTATTCCTCCGGAGGAGCTTGTGTAATTTGTCATCCATTTTTGTCGGGATGACCATCTCCTTGGGACTAATTTGAATCAAGAGCACCTGTAATGATATTCCGATTTCTCGTTGCGCTCGACCGTTCGGTCTGTGGCCCTCTTGTCGTGCTAGTGATGCGAGAACCGCACATCTCAATCCCGTCAGCTCTGCTAACTCACCTGGAGTTTTGTCAGCATCGTATTGTCTAGAATTTGTGTCACTTTCAAACGCTGTAAGACTGGGTCGCAGAAAGCGACGCCGATCAGCACGCTCTCATTTTGAGGCGTGAATTGTAAGGACGCGATTCCGTTTCGATGCGACGAAACAATCAACTGCGGACTATCGGTCGCGAACAAGACATCTTCAACTTCAACAAGGTTCCCAGGCGAAGCCGACTTGACCATTTCCCATCCATCGGGAGTCTACGGAGGATCAAACCGGATGAGCATGCATATAAGATTCGAATATTCGACAGGGCCGAGTTCTGCGAATGGAGTGCACACAACCCATCAGCTGCCACGACGGAGCTTCCGAATAGCATTAGCCGACCCATCGCGATGGCTTGTCGCTTCAATATTAGTTCGAGAAAAGTCTCTACATGGATCAGGGTTTTCTTCAGACGACTTTCCTCACCTCAGCATAAATTTCCACGCGATAAGCCTTGACGAGCAGCAGCTCTTTGAGAAATCTCTCGTAGTTTCCCTGACCGATCCATGCCGATGGTATGCCCTGGATGTTCTTGATGGAGACCTTCAGCAAACATTTAGAGGCGAGTGTTGCATCGTCGAAATGAACAGAGAAATAAGTCTGCAAATCATAACGAAGAGAGGGTTACGCAAATTGGCCTCTGAGACAGCATAGGATGCGAAGAAGAGTTTGAATGGGGAGCCCGGCGCTCACTTTTCTGTCGTAGAAGCGAACTGTGGTCGATGATTTCTGGAATGGATAAGAGGTGCAACCTAGACATTTTTCGACATGTTACTCGAGATGTTTCAGGGAAGACCAAACGGCAGATTTAATAGATGGTCGGATGGCTGAATCGTTATCGCTCCGAAGCTTTCTGCTACATATCTCCGTCATAAAATCGACGTCAGCGGACGTCAATCTGATCGATATCAGAGTCACTGATTCCCGCGAGCGACCCGATAGTGTGACGAGGGAGTGCTTTATTGCCAGCTGAGAGTGCTCACAAAGGATATGTCCGTGGACGGGTGGCACTGGTGGGAACTCTGAATAAAGCTTGCTTCATCAGGGACTCGCTGTAGGGATACCTATAATCTTTCGACACGGTTCACGAAACCCGAAACGGTTCATCGATCCTCTGTTTTGAGAAAACACGGAGCACTGAATTATGACACAACAAAGTTTATTTTAATTCTACCTCGAGTTCGTAACATCTCTTTACAAAAACATGCGCTCGAAAAATGACGCGATTGCGGAGCTACAGTTGGCCTGTCAGGGTTCCGAAACGTGACGCGCTCCGTAACTCTCACATCAACTGAGACATCTGTACAAAGGATTTATACAATGAAGATCCATCTGTATGCTGCTTGCGGGTAAGTTTCCCCGGCAAAGAGATGCGACCAGAAGCGCGTTGATGAATGCTCTCTCATAAGGATCGCCTCATTTTCAATACACATGGCAACCTCATACTGACGAATTTAAGAGGAGCGTAGCAGGATTCTTCATCCAAGACTCGTAAGACCCTCTTATTATTTTCGGAATTCCCGGTAGTCATCGAAGTCTTCGAAAACCATCTGCAGCTGAAGATAATCGTGGCTCTCCGCGGGCCAGAGAACATGGGTTACGACAGCATAAGCTAGAAAATCCGCACACGCCATGATACCGTGGATGAGGTTCTGTTTCCAGAGCGAAGAAACTTGTGACGCGACGATTGCGAGAATCGGTAGATAGATGAACCAACACAGAAGTCCGGCGGCCAAATGAAGGTAGAAGCGCAGTTTTCGAGTATTGTTCTCCAGATGCATGGTGGAACGGAGCTCGCGGAGCATGAATAGCATGAGAGCCATTCTGAATCCAAGGACGAGACAGCCGGGATACGTTTCATACTCGTCGATTTCTTTGATCGGGTCGATCTCCGTATTGACCCATACGTAGAGCACCAGATGAGCGATCAAGTACGTAATCCAGAGGAAGACCAAAACCCTTTTCCCAGCGATTTCTGATCGAGTGATTGCGTATCCTCTGCTTATCACCAATATCAGAACGATGAAGAAAGATTGCGCGAAGATGTAAGCGACTTCGCCGAAGGCTTTGAGACCTGGCAGACCTTGGCCATTCGAAGCAAACAGGATACTTTGGATCAATGTAGCGAGATGCGATACGAATTGCAGCAATATCGCCGTGAACAATATCCGTGTCAAAGGGTGTCGTTGATCGTCCCGAAAGTGGAGATGGCACTGCATCCCAAGCAAGATGAGGTACAGGAAGAAGAATATACACGTCCTTTGCAGAGAACCCTGTTCCTCGAAAGAGAACTCATCGTCGAACGCTGTCGATTCATGAGGATGTCCGTTGACCAGATGGATATCGTAGTCGATTGTGAATGCATCCTCGTTCGAGTTGTGCCAGGTACAATTCTTGGGATCTCGGAAGCACGAAACCAGCGTCACGTACCAAAAGCGAGGCGTGTGAAGATCTCTGACCGTGTAGGTGAACTGACTTGATCTGAGAACCCGGGAAGGGGTGTCTTCTTCTTCGCACAGTTGTCCTCTAGGACAAGGGAAACTCCTGAGGAAGTCTTGAGTACCGTTGACGTTGCAGTGCCGGTCGAATGCGTCTCGCTGTAATTGATGGAACATGGCACTGCAAGCATTCTTCAATCGAGTGCGATTACCCCACAGATTCAAGAAATGTTCGCGTTCCACCACAACGAGGGTCCCTCTGTGAGCCACGTTCCTGCTCGAGCTCGTGAGGTTCCCATAGATGTAGCCAAGGGTGTTCACGTGATCGTGGTTTTCGGTTTTCTCGAAGCCGAACTTGGCGACGAGTTTGACGAAATCCGAACTGTTGAAGCTGCCCTGCAGTCGCAAGCTGCTGCCGCTCAGCAACAGCTGAGCGCAAATTAACAACAGAAACATCTCCGGCGCATCCGACCCATACCACTCGGAACTCGGACAACCGAGCCTTTTGCCACACAGGACGGATCACGGGTCTCTATCAGCTATGAGCGCGACCGACGAACGCTCATGCTTGCTCTTTCGAATTTCGTAACGTTATCTCCTCCATCGCACAACACCATCGGCATAGCTCGCTTGCCCTCCCTCATTCGCCTTCTTCACAGTTTGCGAAGTCTCGCTATCGTGCCAAAAGCGTACCACCAACGAACCGTAAACAGAAGGGGGAATTGAATCAGGTTCGGGAAATCGGGAATTTAGGGACGAGGAGTCACAGAGGAATTCTGATTAGCGACGCTAGAACCGGCGCCGAGATTGAATTCTGGTCCTCCCGTAGGACGGCTCCGCAGTCAGAGGGAGCCCCCAACGATGAGCGGTGAAGCGACGCGGTACACAGGCATTTGCCCCTCGAGTAATTTTACGCAACGTTGCCTGGAAGATACTTCGAGCGCCTCAAGCCTTCTCTGTACTCACCGCGGGTCCATCTTTCAAGAAACGCAGGAAAGTCTTATCTCTGGTGACATCTGAAAGACATAAAAAACGTCCGTGAGGGAGTCAGCTGCGGTTCCACTTGCGCACGGATAAGGGATTTCTCGGCGCAAAGTTGGGCACGATAGGCAGAACACATCGATCAAGAGATTCCTTGTCTCAAGCACCTTCTAGATTCGCGTGTACTGGGGCGTCTACCATGCTGTTTGCCTTCGTGCGGTCGATTTTCTACGCGTAGAAATTGCAGGATGATGATCGACAGAAATGCGCGCCGAATGTGGTACTTTACTGTGGTACCTCGAATCCGCTATCCGGGTCTGTCGTCGGAAGTCGTCGTACAAATCGAACCGTAGCGCCGCAACGACGACGACCGACGAAACTCGGGTGCGTCGGCGGCTGACTAGGGAGAGGGGCTGGCGGGAAATTCAGGCCACCGGAACCGAGACCTATCTTCTTCGCGGTCGGAGTGCTCTAGGATGAATTTTTTCACATGGGCCAATCGACCCGGGGTTTTTCATCGGATACAATCCTGAATAATCCTCAAGGAGGATCTCCTCATCACCACAACTCCCTTTCCCTCTCCAGATCCCTCTCCCACAGATGCTGCGCCTCTGAGCAAGCGAGTGTTCGAAATGTGCATCCATGCGTTTTCGTGTGTCCATCCGTACTGGCATGTCTACGCGATTTCCAATAGCAAAATTATATTTGATATCACAGAGATCGTGAAGTTCGCGGCTATTCTGAGGAAGCGAGATGTCGAAAGCAACCAAGGTCAGTGGCTCCTCTTGATCTCCTCCCGCGGAACCATCCCTTTTCGTAAATGTCTCGATCCGACTTCTCCTCGGGAAGGAACAGCTGTTTTTAGAGTTTCCTCGACGATTCCTTGCTCGGCGAGACAATCCCAGATTTTTCCCTGCGGAGATCCCAGATTACAGCTCCCGATACTATTCTGCTTCCGCGTCTTCCAGGTGAAATATGTGCACCGTGAAGTTATGGAAGATTTCGTTCTGCCTGAGCCGCATCAAATGATTGTCAAAGTGATCGCGGGCCGCGGGAACAATCTCCACGAAGTAGTCAACGAGGCAGGTGATAAATTCCTCGTATCGATGCCGGTGAAGTTCCGCAGGAACGTCTGGGTGAAACGCGGCGATTTCGTCGTCATTGAGCCCATTGAGGAGGGGGACAAGGTGAAAGCAGAAATTATATCGATTCTGTACAAGCAACAAATCAAATACATTAAGGAAGAAGGTCTGTGGCCCGATGGCTTCTGCGACGGGAGCGAAAAGAGGAATGGAGCTGGAGATAATGACGAAGATGGAGATGAGGAGGAAATCTTCGTCAATACCAATCGAGTACAAACTACCTACGAGGAGTCAGACGAGGACGATTCTAGCTGTGATGAAGAAAACGAAGACGCAGAGAACCATGACGATAGTGAGCCTATGGAGAAAGCGGTTTGAGTCGTGTGCATCGGAAATGAATCATTTGTAAATAAACAACATTTCACGCCTGTTTCTGGGGCTTTTTTTAATGTGTAGCTTCCCGAGCCCTGAGTCGGTATTCGGAGTACCCGTTTTCAGGACGGTGTTCGAGATAAATGAGACGATGTGACCCCCCCCCCTTCCTCCCGATACCCGCATAGACGTAGTCCTGTCACGAAAAAAAACCGTCCTTCCGAAACGACCTAACTCCGAAATAAATGCGCAAAACAATGAAAGACGAGAACTGGTTCCTGCATTGACATTTCGGAATTATTCGCACTCCCGAGAGTCGACTGAAATGCGGGGGATATTTTCTTCAAACACGGAAGAAGCTCTCTGTCTTGGCCCAGACAGGATTTCCACGCTAGCGGGCAACTATGAGGGCTTGACAAAATGCTTCGTTGCGTCTCATTTCGACGGGTCCAAGAGATCGATGTAGCTGCCTTCGATGAGCGATCCGGGCGCCAGTTTCAATTTCTCCATGAATTCATGAGCGATCGCGGTGCCTTCCTCAATGGGCTGCCCGTCTTTCATCATGACTTCAAGTTCCATGAAACTCCCGAGTCCTTCGACCTGAATGATTGGAAGGGGATACATTAGCATACATTATGTCCTTCGCGGTGGCACACCGAGGGAGGCGGACGCGCCAGATGAAATCGTGTACAGTGCTCGCGCCTACACGAGTTTTGACCTGACCTCGTCGATGTGTACACGAGTCTGCCCAACGATGTAGAGATGACGCGTTTTATTCACGACTCCCCTCAGGCCGTTCGCTTGTGTGAGGAGCTCCTTCAGCTGTGAACTCGTCCCAGTACAGTCGTATTTCACAAAGTCGCTGAGTTTAGGTCCCGCCGTGTTGCTCCTTGATGTCGGAAAAGTGAAGTTCTGTCAGACTCTGTCCTCATTGTGAGATGATCCAGCTCTGAAAATAATCGTCGGCTCAAAACAGACCGAGAATAGAAGATGAGCTCGGCTGCGGATTCGTCGTTCAGAATGATCTCCCTCAATTTCAAGCGGCCGGTTTCACATTTGAAGTAAGTATCGCAGTGTTGCAGAATCTTGTGATCCGAAACCTGGGGAAGGAAGGAAGTTATGTTCTCAATTAGTCGAGTCAAGAATATATTTTGAGTGATTCGGGCGCCGCGCCGTCCGTCAGATCCTCGTGAGGTTCGGCCGTCGGTATAAGATTCACAGGAGACTTGAGCGCGATATCCGAATACCTACCTTTGAAGCGAAAAGCTGCTCGAAGAGAGCGTGGAAAGCTGCGAAATCCGTCAATCGGCTCTTTATCTCGATGTTGCTCGGCATTTTCACATACAGACGCGAAGCCGACACTTTCCCGGCAAGTCAATCTGTGGGATCTGTGGTAATAGACGCGCGCGATCTCTTTCCCCGAGTTGAGAGGGTATATAGGACGCTGACACGTACCGTGGCGCGTCGCGGCCATAAATTCTCGAATGAATTGCATTCACGATTCATATTGGAGCGTAAGTCGCTTGTGACTCCTGAGTGGGTTGGGGAATTCAGTCAACCCCATGACTAGGAACAGCTCCCTCTTCGAACAACTCTCTCAGAACTTCATTAGAGGTCCTCGGAGATTTCCTAAAGGGAGAGATTCCGGCGTCTCTGCATATTCTTCGAGCTAGCTTTGGATCCCGAGACTGGACCCGATCATGGCAATTGGTGCGGGAGGATCATCGAGAACCTTGAGCAAAATCGAGCGCTTTCGTTCTCGTGAGCTAATTTAACTGATAGAGCATACTTTATGATTAAATATCACTGTCCATTTCACCCTTATGATGCCGGTGGGCCTGCACATATTCGTAATCTGACTGTTCGCTGATCTCATCTTGATAAATCTCGGAGTCCCGAATGCTGCTCTGATGCAAGCGATGTAAAACTTGTTCGATCAATGGGTGCCCACTTCTGCCGTGAAGTCTCGGAGCGATTGGAAGCTACGCGCTCATTTTCAAATGGGCGCGCAGACACAGAACTCCTCTCTGCGCGTGTGTGCAGTCGAGTTCGCCATGTGAGATAGAAAGAAATAGTGTGAGAGCCTCTATGTTTCATTTGATGCATTCATATGCGGGGCTGGACTTGAATCGGGGGTCTCCCTTGCTGGTGTCACTTCTTCACTTTTCTACGCCGGGAACCGGTCGAGGTCATGGTGAACGGAGCGATCCGGCTCAATTGAATCGATTGTTCCGGTCGGAATACCTCAAATTTGGATTGTGTTCGAATGCTCCCTCCCCGGATTCAGTCTTCCAGATACTGACGAGACCCGAGGCCCGACATGAGTGAAGGAACGAGGAGCGAGAACGACCTCACTCCTAGCCAACGGATTCTAGCTGCCTCCACAGGTGAGTTGATGCCGTTCGCCAGGGGAGAGGACGATGGTCTTCCCCCCCAAGGATCTGGGTCTCGTTTCAATCCATCCGTGAGGAATGTTCTCACACTGACTGAGCTAGAAACTTCACGAACTTCGCTCGGGAGCTTCATTACATAAGTGCCGAGCCAGTTTTCGATGTTAGAGGGAATATAAACACACTCAAGTACCTACCTATGAGCAGCCTTCGCGCCGCGTAACCTCTAAGCAGGTCTCATGAATGATGATGATGATTATGTCGAATCCGGAAGAGCACTGGACCCTCAGTCTCAGAGGCGTATCCGAGGGGGGGGGGGG